GAAAATACTGTTTATGGTGTGTTATTTAAGGTGGTGTGGTCCAGGACCAAATGGTACTACCATACGCGTAGAAAAGTACTTGGTCCTGGTCCTACAGCGATATAATAACTAATATTATCTTATAATTTCGAATACACACTTTTTACAGTAGTACTCGTAGCCCAAAAAAGATGGGCTTCGCCTCAGCTGAAGTATTTATGACTCTGACTATGACTATGATTCCAAGCTAAGGCATTTGCTATCGACGTTTGTGCCAGGTAAGTACTACGTAATAGTAGTACTCGTAGCGGTAGCCCAAAAAAGATGGGCTTCGCCTCAGCTGAAGTATTTATGACTATGACTCCAAGCTAAGTCAACTGCTATCGACGTTTGTGCCAGGTAGTGAAGTAATTTACGAAATACGAAGTAGTGGTGTTGGGGTTGGAAACATAAGCTATGCAAAATTGAAGCATGTACACTGATATAACGAGATACTGCGATTCTATCACCTCATTGTTTTTGATAAAAATTATTGTTTTTTTTTAAGCTTTTCAAATCGTCTTCAATCCAATCCATCCCTGTATCGTCATGAAAATTCTTCGTTTTCCTACGTTTTTCTTCCTTTTCCATGCTGTTGCTGGTCCGGTGGCGTCAAGTCTCGATTCTGGAGATCCTTCCGCATTGTCTTCTGGCACCAGCAACAAGGAAGAAGTCTCCGTGTCATCTCCTCATGTTGATTGGATTGGCTTCTCTCCTGTTGTTGCTGATGACGAGGACAATGTAGGATCTGTGGATACTCCTGTTGACTTTGTTACCCATCACCAAGAAGGTACTGAGGTGAATGGCTCTGTCGTTTTGGACCCTCAAGATGGTGATGGGCAAGAGAGCTCTCCTGCTGTGCAACGAAGGTTGACCCCCAAGAAAGTCAAGGCCTCTCAACAACCAAAAAAGACCAAGAAACAGTCAAAATCCCCAACTGCTTCCCCCATGTCCCCCCCAACTCTCTCCCCTGTGACCGATTTAAAATGCATTGATGTATTTACAGGCAACCGCACGTACTTTCCAAGTTGCAAGAACACAGTCAGCTTGATTTCTGTTAAGTGTGACAGTGAAGGTCTATGTGTATATTCTCAACGCGTCATTAAGCTTGATGACAACGGAAATCCGCAGGTGGACAACGACACATGCGAACTCTTCGGAGAATTTTCTTACAACGACAAAGTCATGGTCAAGTCTCCTGAATGCGAACTGCACCTTGAACCAATCCAACTTGGTCAATTTGGTGAATGCAGCTTTCCCAACAAAGGACTCAACTATGGCGCACCAAATGTGATGAAAGCCAAAATCTATCCTGATGAGACCATGGACCTCATCTTTAGTGCAGATGATGGGAAAACATTTTTTGAAGACACGCGGGTTGCTACTCCAAAGACCGAAGAAGGAATTCCCGTGTTAGACATTCCCATGTTAGAATCCTATGATTGTGACCAACTTGAGTCACCCCTAGGCATACGTTGTGAATCTGTAAGTTCAGCTATTTTGATAAAAGAACAATCATGTTTCCAACTATTAATTTTGATCCACAAACTGACGCCGTTGCTTTGTCTTCTGATTACGAACAACAAAGAATGATGATTGCAAGGATTTCGAGGAATCACCTTGGTGTTTAACCATAAGTGGTTACGATTATCCCCCCCTTAATTATTGCTATCAGTGTTACCTTGATTCTCATTGCGGCAATAATCAATACTGTCAGTTTACCCCCGGTAATGCTAAATGTGTTTCCAATTTTATTGATAAGGTTAAAGGCATAAACGAGGTACAAATGGGGTACGACATTTTCGTCGCCGATCCTTTATACAACAAGTTCTCTACAGAACGCGGTGACCCAATAGATCCTGGTTCATTCGACAAGCAACAATTTTTTAAACTTGAATGGAGTAATGACCCTTCTTATTTCGTTCCTTTTCCAACAAGCACAAATGTTTCCAGGCCCATCGGGTTCATAGTCACTCCAAAGTACATATTGACAAATTCAACATCAACAAGTTCTCATACCAATTCGGAGAGTTTCTCTAGGGAACAGAGTGCGGCAGTCAAAATGATAGGCGGAGGGTTCATCAATGGAATCAACGTCGCAGCTGGTCTTGGAATGGAAACAAAGCTTAACGTTGCCTCTAGGGCAAAGACTTCTGTAATCACTACAACATCGAAATCTTTTATGCTTGCATACGAATTTAGAATGAGAGACACCGCTGAACTCAAATTGACACCAGGTGCTAAAAGGGCCTTGAGTGTGATTCCGATGGATTGGAATACCTTTTTCAGGAATTATGGTACCCACTTAATCGTAGGAGGTACAGCAGGTGCATGGGTGAGGACTGTTTTCACATTCACTACAAGCGAAATGGAAAAACTTGAAACAGATGACCGTAAATTCGAAACCTCTGTGTCTGCTGGCATTCCAACTATTTTTGGGTTCGGGCAAGATACTTCTGGTGGCTGGAAAGAAGAAATTGGAAAAAAAATTAAAGCTATGAACTTAATTCGTGAAGAAATGTCGCTAGGTGATCCCAATAATGTTTATGAGACGGCAACCGTCATCACAAAGGTCCTGAGCCCTATTTGTAAATACATTCCTGATCGGAAAGATGAGTGCCAAGAAGGGTTGGTAGCATATTGTTTGGCTAAACTCCAACAAATAGATCCTTCCATTCGCGCGTGCGATCCTGAGAACTTGAGTAAACTTCAATTTTTTTGCCTTAGGGATGGTGACTGCCCGGGGAAAGAAAAATGTGATGGAGGCTTGTGTGTGGCCGAATGTGTTAGAGATAGCGACTGTCCGGGTAAATATATGGAGTGCCGACTTGAGACCGGAGAAAAAAAGGAATGCCATCCCATGAGAGGCGTACCCACGGGAGATTGGCCAAATCATGGATGCCAAATGCATGGTGGTGACATAGTTTACGTTCTTTGTAAAAGAAATGCAAAATGTCCATCGGGTTATAAGCCATATTTTGAGTCAACATGCTTTCCAGGTTTCAAGACGTTATATTGCCAATCTTTTGTCTATTACACGGCACCGTGCACTAGACCTATCGAAGGAACTTGTGGCCATGGCAACAGAGGCAACGGCTGTTGTGCAAATAGCCCCGGAAGCAGCGATTTGGGTTGCGGAGATAGTGGTTGGTGCGGGACTAGCGATGAGCATAAACTTGGGGCTCGACCAACCCATCAAGAATGCGCAGATATGGGCGCAAGAGCGGGGTATTGAGGAGGACAGAATCTATACTTTGGTGCCGCAGTAGTTTGTATCTACTTGAAAAAGGAGCAGKGAGTACAACGAACGACGAGGAGTCGTGTGGCTGGACGAATGGTGCCGTTGGTGGTGGTGCTGTGAGGAGTTGAAAGAGTCGTGACCTTCGACCCAGGAATTTGGTGGAACCGCGGAACCAAGATCAACAAAAACTATCACTTACTTTTAGTACTGTAAATAGTATTTGGAATCGTCCTATCAAAAATGGGCATTTCCAAATAGTTATTTAAAGCGAACATCAAGCAACATTTGCAGTCCATAGTAATACCGTGCGGTACAGTAGACCATATGTTACGACAACGTAGCGTACGTACCGTACGCCAGGGGTCTAAATTTATGACCCCTGCCGTCCGCAACACTCGTTTCTCGTATTTGGGGTTCACCAATGTGAGACATTTCCGTCTGATCCCCTAAAATCTTACCCCCCCCTCATTAAAGCTTCCATGGCCATTTAATGGGTAATGAGCCTCGACCAAAATGGGTGGAGAGATAAATTTCATCGAAACAGAAACATGCTTGCGAACGGGCACCGGTATGCAATGTGAAGCGCTGGAGCAACGCAGCAAAGCGACTGGAAGCAACCGGAATGGGAAAAAGGTTTTCTCGCAACAACAATTGAGAGCGAATGCCTTGCTGTCTTCTTCTGGTTATCTAAAGGATAAAACGGGAATCTCACTAATCACCGAAAATATGGCATCCATTACAGCTTCCTCTGCCCTCGTCAATGTTGTTGACGGCGCAGAACTTTGTCTGGTTAGACTCCTCGACGAATCCGCGGCGCCAGGATCCATCCGTCCAACTTTTGTCCAAGACTGTGAAGCCTGTATCGCACACAGCGATGCGTCGCAACTGCTCAAGACGATTGTATCCGACCAAGGCGCCATTGCTGCCCTTGTATCGCTCGACGAAGAGGCCATCTCGGCAATCTCCCTTCTCGCGGCTTGTTTAGACAGAGTCGAAGACAGCAGCGCTGTGATCTTGAACAATCTTGCCGATTCGATCATTGCGATCAGTACTGCAACTGGTGCAAGCTCGAAGGCAATCTCTTTGTTGGCGACTTTGTATAATATGAGATCGGATCCGACCGAAAAGGTTGGACTGTTGGTCAAAATGATTAGACTAGCAGTTGAGTCCGGAGATGTTTTGGAGTCCGAAAACTCGGTCTTGGGCAAATGGATGGACCCTGCTCAAGTCGAAACAATGCTGAACGAATGGAATGTAGAACCAACCGGTCGCCGTGAATTGTACCAGGTTGCCGCCCAATCTTCCCAGAAGTCTCCCGCTGCCACACAGCAATTTACCCTGTTGGTAGTAGAAACCTACTCCAAATCGGATGTCGATGCCGCCGGATTGGAAGCAGCTAAGCAAGCAGCCATTGGAGCTATTCGTGATCCCGTGACCTTGTTTGCTCAACAACGAAAGATCCTTTCTCTACCTGCTATACAGGCATTAGAAAAAAGCGATGGTAGGTTTTGCTTCGATTAGTCTTGAAAGCTTGTTGTTCATGCTGCATTCCTTTTTGTTTATTGACTGGGAGATGAAATTCCCTTAGCCATCTATTGTGTTCTTGATTATTCAAATCGCTCCCGACGGTTTCTAACGCTTTTGCCTTTTCGTTATGATATTCTTTGCAGCACCATTGTTTGCTCTGTTGAAGGTCCTCCAAGAGGGGAAATTAGAAGATTATAATTCGTATATCAAGTCGAATGGTGGCGATTCCGTCCTTGCCCAGTGGCAGTTATCGGCCGAGGATTGTTCTCGAAACATGCGCATTTTGAGCCTCTGTAGTCTTGCTGCCGACCACGAGGAAATTCCCTACTCCGTCGTTGCAGAAACGCTGCAGGCCGATGCCGGAGATGTCGAAAAGTGGGTGATTGCCGCCGTTTCCTCCGGTCTCTTGTCAGCCAAAATGGATCAATTGCAACAAAAGGTTATGGTAGAACGCAGTGTTGTGAGGAAATTCGATATGGATCAGTGGAAGGCACTCCAGTCGCGGCTTCATCTATGGAAGCAAAACGTCGGTGGAATTCTTGAGGCTTATAAGCAAAGCCTGAATAAGTAAGGTGGGCCAGTTGTACAATAGTGTAATAAGCACAATCGCAAAACAACTTAGATATAAACTTAATATTAACAAGCAAGACAATATCTATATTCCTTTGCTTCACGTGAAGATTCGCCCATAATGTTCTACATGATTCGTCTGTTTCTCGACTGATTAGAATTGATTGTTGTGCCATTTATGTTTGATAACTTATATTATGTCATCGACGTTTCTCGCTACTTTTTTCGATTTGGTCGGATGCCTCTTTCGCCAATGCCAGAGCAGAGGATAAAAATGCAGACGCTCCCGCGTAGGCCCGCTGTTTGTTCGTTGGCATCCTCAACGCGTAAACAGCTCTTCTTCCAGCGCCACTTAGAGTGCCGGACAGTGTTCCCGGTGTCGTTTCTGGATCGACACCGAGGCCGTACCCTCCCAAGCTAAGGCCCAAGTTCTCCACAACCGGTTTTAGATCACCATTTTTGTCGATTTGTGGGGAATTGACAATCCCAGCAAAGATACTATCTGCTACACCAAGGCCCACTCGGGCTGTATCTAAGAGTGGAACCAACAAAGAGCCTATCTGGCTGTCTTCATCGGGTCCAAGAATGGCGGCATTGGGTCCGCCGAGAGAAAGCATGCTGCCAAGATCTTGAAACTCAAAGGTTTTCGGATCTGTTTTCCGGTTGGATATATTTGCAAGCACATTCGATGCGACAACATCCGCCTGCTGCATAGCGGCTTGCGCCGTCCGTGGAGTCGCGGGCTGTGATGCCGGAACGATTTCGGAACAATCTCCAAGAGCCCATACCGAAGGAAATGATGCTGGTTTCGATGCATCTTCGGCGGACTTTTCTTCTTTGAAAGAGCAGCGCATTGATTTGTCGACCCTCAATCGCCCCGAAGACGACAAGGCAAGCTCACAATCTACATCGTTTGCAATTGGGTAGGATGGGCCACTCCCCGCCGTCCATAAGACAGCGTCCCACAGATCATCAATATCATTATCAGAATTATCCCCTTCTGCATTTGATCGTTTGATCACAAATTTATTGTTTCCTTCCTTTTGGATCTCTAAAACATCATTCATCTCGCAATCAACGCCTAGTTTCTTGAGGGCCTGCTCCACTAGAGGCTCTGCTTTGGTTCCAGCCATGGGCGGTCCTCGACTCATCATTGTTACGCGAGCCTTCGGCAATCGTCGAGCAACGCACGCCGACAACTCAACCCCTCCATAACCACCTCCGACGACAGCTATCCGGGGGCTTTCTCCTTGTCTCACTTTTTGGTCCATTCGAAACAACAATTCACGGGTTGCGTATGCGTCTTCTTTGGTATAGAATGGCTGGGCCAATTCAGAAGCACCGGGAATCGACGCTAGGATTGACTGGGGCGTTGCACCTACAGCGACTACTGCTGCATCAAACGAGAGATAAATGGAATCGCCACTTTCTTGTTCTTCTTCGGGATACACCGGCTTGCAAACAGTCGTCAACACAGCCTCGGAGGGTCCATTATTGTTTGCAGAACTCTTTGAAAAACCATCGAAGGAAGCCCGAATATGGCGCACGCCTGTTCCTTCCAGAAGTTCGTTGAACGTCGGGCAAACTTCACCTTCTGACGCCGTCCCCATGGTGAGATCGTACAGCAACGGCAAAAAGACAAACCGATCCGAGGGATCGACGAGAGCGACATTGAGATTTTTCCCCTTCTTCTTCGATTCGCGAGAAATTTGCAGCGCCGTGTACAGCCCACCAAAGCCCCCTCCCATTACTGCCACGTCGCATTCATCGTATGCTCTAGACGAAGCCCCCAAAGCAACCGTCTCTTTTCGTCCCCGCACAAGACGCGAGTTGGAGACGGCGGTTCTTGTAGGTCGTAGCGTGGTGCCGCAGAAGCCAGTCGCAATCGGCAAAAGCAAACCGAGGAGAAGAAAAATACAGCGCATCATTTCGAGAGCGTCACTTCGTGAAGACTTTTAAGCTTTTTTCTTCACTGCGATATTTTGCTTTCTGCCCTTATTCGTTGTTGCGATTGCCAGCAAGATACGGAACGAGTAGGAGTCAACTGCAGCAGGTCGAAAGCAACTGAGCGACGGAGGGAAACTAAAGAAAAAAATCAGTTTTCATGAGCACACAAGCATGAGCATGGTTGAACGATTGCTGACTCACTCATGGCTGATTCGTGATTCAGTCTTTTTCTCTTTTTCATAGTACCATATCAGGTACGAGTACCGTACCGTACGGGACGGGACAGTACGGAATCAAGTGAAAAAAAAGCAAAGGTTTAACGTACGTACCGAATAGTACGCTACATATGTATGATACTGTACAGTACGAAGTACAAGTACTTTCTCGAACTTTTCCGAAAGCGTGAAGCATAACTCAGGGCCCAGGAAGAACAAACATGTCGTTCGACGACAATGGTGGGAAGTTTGCAGGCGGAACTTTTGTATCAATAGTGTTGTCATCGGTCGCCACCAACTTTGTTACGAACCTTGCAACGGAACGAATCACCAAGGCCAAATGTCATGAAGGCGACCCACGGCGAATCGACGAAGACCAAGATTGTCCAGAAGGCGATGTCGACAAAAGCCAAGTCAAAGAAGCCCAAGGGCGGGAATGCAACGAAAAAATCTGTGAGAAAGAAAACATCAACCTCCGCTGCAAAGAAAAAGAACGCCAGCGTGAAAAAGACAGGCCGAAAGAAGCAAATGATCACCGATACGGACAAGAAAACAGACGACAGCAGGCAGAGTGACAGCAGCGACGACGATCCGGAGTGGGAAGCATACCACTTACACAGCGAAAAATCGGAAAGCGATGCTTTCTGGAACGAGAATTACCGGAGACTCCAAGAATTCCATTCGACTCACGGTCACTCGGGGGTACCAATTCACTGGCGTGTCGAACCTCAATTCGCGGATTGGGTCTCGCGCCAACGGCAGTTTTTCCGAGAAATCCAATCGGGGTATCGGAGACCTAGTATCAGGGACGAGGGCAGATGGAAGCGTCTCCAAATTTTGAACTTCCCCTTGGACTACGAAAAGTGGCACTGGCAACAAAAATACAACGAACTGATCGAGGTGCTGCACGGTGAAAAGTACGACGAAAACAACACCAACATTCCTGAGACACTGAAAGTATGGGCAAATCACCAAATATACTTGAATCAAAGCGATGTACACAGTAGAATTGACTCGGAACGGAGACGGGGTCTGGAAATTTTGGGAGTTCTCAAGAAGGATAATAGGGTGGAAGATTGTGCATCGTATAGCGACTAACATGGTAAGATCATGTTTGCTATAGATTAGTCTACCTCTTTTGTCTCCTACTATTCGTTACTCTATATGTTGAAATGCTGATTGTCTACTGCAGCTTCCATAGCAGCTTCAGTTGCCCACTTTATTTTCAGCTCTTCCCTTGTCTCCATTTCTTTTCTTCCTCTATCGTAACTTTAGTAGAACTTGGTCTCTACTAAAAGCTTCAATTCCGACATCAATAGCCCATAATCCGGTCTCTCAAGAGTGTGTGTACGCGCGCATACTAATGCGACGACAACATCTCTTTCTCTTGCCATCTTCTTTGAATGTCTTATAATTTAGGAATTAGTGTATAAGATGTTCTTTTTACCTTCACTGTAAAGCTGCCTTATGAATGATCAATAGAGCATTTATCATCTTGTATAGTAAAAGATCAAGGAAAACAAAGTTTGGTGAAAAAATATTGTTAGTGTTGAGAATGCTGCACTAATCTTTCAAGTGATGATCTAACAATGAACAAACTTGATTCAATATTGAACATTTCACCAAGAGCAGGACATGTTCCAGATAAGGAATCACTATTCTTAAATCACGCATCAGTATGCTCTACATCACAGAAGAAGTCAAAGTACCAGGTTTGCATGGAAGTTGAGCTGATGTGGGAATGCATTGAGGAAATGAAAATGTGAAAATTCAATTTAAATTAGAAGAGTACAATAGATCACCTTTCCTGGTTACACCTTTTCATAGTAATGTGCATGAACAAAACAGTGTGAAAATGTCTTGTTTTTAAAAAGAGTACAGAATGAAGAAAATTCAAAACAAAAGGATACAATGAATCAAATGTACTATTTGAAAATAAATGTTCTGATTCTTGGAACTATGACTTGAAGGAGGGTAACAAAAAGCCAATAAACTTATTTTCATAGGAACATGAGAGGAAACATGAACACTGCATGGTTAATATATCATACAATGAACTTGCAAGTTCTGTTTTACATCTCAATTCACCAAACACTGTTGCAATTTTTTTGTCTGGTGTTTCAACTATGGTTATGACCTATTAACCAACAAAGAAGACACCGAAGTGTATGTTAGTACAGGGAAACATATGTGAAACAAACTTCAACACATGTACAACCGTAAAGAAGACAGTGAATGCAATGCTGCAATGCTGCAATGCGCAATGTACAATGTACAATGTACAATGTACAATGTGCAATGTGCAATGTGCAATGTGCAATGTGCAATGTGCAATGTACAAACAAGGATTTCATGCTTTGATGGGAGCTGTCACTTTAAGCACAAAGTCACACATTGTTTCTGGTCCCATCATGGCAAGATATCTCCTTCAACATAATGGGTTTCAATTCCATTGGTCTTGATTGTTTTGAGAGAGAKGAGAAAATTAGGAACTTGTTTAGGATTTCAATACAGTTCAAAACAAACACATTACATTTCTTAAATCTGTGCAGGCCAGGAAAACTTGAAAAAGTTTCTGTTTATTGCATTTATGATTTTTTCTCTAGTAGCTTCACCACAACAACAAAAGGAATCAAACCAAAGAAGAAAAATAAAACAATGAATTGGTCAACTCCACACCCTGCAAAAACTCACTTGAAATTTCCAAGTGTGAGAAACCAGCAATTCCATTGGTTCATTTTAAAAGTTTCCAAACAGTGAAATCTTTGGAGGCATGTTGGAAAAATATGCTTAGACAGCAATGATACTATTTTTTCCATTTAGGAATGCAAAAAAAGGACTCGAGGCAGATTCAAAATATTTATCAAAATTCAAGGAAATTTTAAAAAGTGGGAAATTGAAACTGAGTCATCAAATACTGCTGAAAAATTCCCAAGATTGCTACAGCTTTTTTAATTCAGGAAGACCAAAAGAAGCTCTAGAACAAGTTACGGGAGGGAACTGCTGTCAAATTAATGATGGAGAAAGTGGCAATCTTTGTTTGTTTGATGAATGTCAGGCAAATTTTGTTGACAATATGGATGTGAGGATACATGATCCAGGTCAGATTCAGTTTGCAGACAGATTCAATAAGCTACAAATTGATACTCAAGTTGTCATAAATCAAGGAGGTTCCCACAACTGTGGAAGAACACTGCTGAAAACACCTATAGTCACACTTCTTGACTCAAATACAATTACTGTTCAGAACTAATTGTCTTCAGATGACATCCTAAATCTCAACCACAAAATGCAACCAAAGGAGCCTTCAAGAAGTGTTTTCTATCAAATTCTACTACACCAAAAGTTTTCTTGTTAGTACCCATAAGAAAACTTCACATTTACTGGAGACTTGTTGGAAGATATCAGATACTATGCAAAGTTGAATTTTCAAAATGACAAAGACCAAGAAAATGCATTTAGCCAGATTGTTGCTGCTTTTGTTTTCTTTTTTTTCAATACTTCAAGAAAAATCTTTACATTTACACCTGAACAATCAAGAAAAATAGAATTCAGAGGAATATTAAGTGGTAATTGCCACAACAAATACATTCATGATCTCAAGGCAACAATGAGCAACAAAGAGCAGTTCATCTGTTTTCTATCAGGGGATGGTGGTACTGGAGAATGAAAAGTAATTCATTCTATTTGTTTGTCATTATTGTAAGATGCTTTGCAAAAGAATTGAGAGTGAACTTTTCCAACAGAACTCTGGCTATCACAGGCATGAGTGGAACAATAGCATTTGGTGTCAATGAGGAAACAACACATAAAGTAAGCTTGCCATCTTTATTGTGATAGATCCAATATTACAAAGGGTGATGCATAGGAAAATGAGACTTGACTACTCATTGTTGACAAGATGTTATTTGCTAGCATCAAACAAGTTGAAACATTGAATGAGTATCTGAACTTATTCTGTGACAAGCCATCATATCATTTGTTTGGCAATCTACTACCAATTCTCTTGCAGCAGGTGACTTCAATCAACTCAAACCCATGGGAGGACTCTCTCTATTGTCAAAAAATTTCCATCTTTGGAGAGAAAAACCAACATATTTTTTGAACTTAAATTTTAGAGATGATCCAATCTGGGGAGAGGAGCTTCTTGACAATTTAAGAGCAAGTAACTTGAAAGATGAGCATGTTCTAATCATCAATTCAAGATTTGTAATACTTTGGGGAAAACTCCCAGAAGATATGATTGCTCATGGAACATACAGCAATGCAGACAAATGTGCAATTAATGATGGTATATTTTCTGAGTTTCTCAAAACAACTCATTCAAAAAATTTAAATGAGAGATTACCAGATCACAACATTGTAATCAAGGACTCAAACCTAAAACTGTAGATAGACAAAAAAGAAAATACAGAGACATACCAGAATTTCAGAAATACTGCTTGCTGACTGCCAAATCAGATGGTGACATTGTTGCAGGTACAAATAAATCTTCCAAAAGGATAGATCCAATGCTTAAATTGTATGTTGGTAGACCTGTCATGATMAATGACAACATAGATGTTGAAAAGTAAAAAGCAAATGGAGCCATGTGTACATTCAAGTCAGTCAAACTAAAAAATGGGTACTACCAAGATTGTGAAATTATCAACATTGATGGATTTTATGTTGATGTGTAGATGCTGAGAAATTTGAATGGATGGAGGTAGTCCTAGAAGAAGGAGACTAAAAATAGGTGATCACTTGAACTCCTCAAAACATGGCAGCAACAGTCTGCAAGAATATGAACCAAGAATTACCCATCAATCTCAAACAAGTAACAAGGGAATTCAATTAACTCAATTTCCAATCAACAATATTGCTAATGCAAGAACTGTTCACAAATTTTTAAAACATCTTAATAGTAATATTTAACCTCGTGAACAGAGGTACTATATGGATAGAACCATAGCTTTTGTTTGGAAAGTATGCTTCTAGCTGCTCCGAGGGGTGGCACTTCCCTCCGAGGAGTTGTGATTGAGGTGCGACCAGGGTTTTGTCTGGGCTGGGGAATTAAACAAGATATTTGTTCATAGTAGTTTGCATGGTATGTTTGGTTGTGGCAGAGACCAAAGAAGTCTTTGGTGATATGGAGGGTTTGTGTTGTTTCTTCTTGGAGCACGCGTCAAAGACCAGCCCATCTTGTGCGACTCTCTCTGGTGGTTGTTTCTTACTATGAGGCAAATGTGAAAAGTACTGAGCAATACAGCGAGTGTTGGAGACAGAGGCAAGGGACACTTGGGCAACACGAGTCAATGGTAATAAGTGAGCATAGAGGTAGGTGAATTTAATAAGAATGGTTCCATATCCTCTGGGAATAGGAGGAGGTGAGTGTGGGAAGGACAGGTCAGTGGTTTCAGTTCAAACAAAGTGCAAACCTTCATCACCACCCGCTGTTAATGTTTTGCTTGCTTCTCAGAAAGCGTATGACTGTGGAGATCTTTATTGTGCTGTTCCCATAAGGATATATAGGAGATAAGAAAGAATTTCACAAGATAGCCCCCCCCCCCCAACCCGAGCGGGGAGTAAGAACTGTGATCTTCGGAAAATGTGTTGGTTTCTTCAACTTGGTCTTCCACAAGCAATTTGATTTATGTTGTACAAGAGTTAGAACTTCCGGCAATGATCTGTTTGTAAGAACACCTCTTTGTGACATTGTTCTACTACTACTACTACTACTACTACTAGTCCTTCTTACAAAAAACGCACAACAACACCAAAAACAACACCCGGCATACTACACACCAACAAATCAATGGTTTCCATTCCTATTTCAGAAACAGCAAACAGCCACAGTGCTTTCGTTGAAAACCTTCTACTACTACATTCTTTTCAGAGCATAACTTCAACCTTACTAGCAATAACATAGATTTTGCACCATAAACTATTTGCGTTAGCAAGCCAATTATGGACTGCCGGTATGGACTTTGGACCGCCAGAGGAACTATCCTGGTAGTAGGTATTATTCATACTAACTAACATACGACGAATTTGAATTTGAAAAAATATGATCGTAATTTGAAGTCCCGTAATTTTGATGTCGCAAGTTCGTACCAACATCAACAATCATGCCATACACTTACGCATAATCTTTGCAACATACCGTCGTGTACTTCTTACCCGGAAAGTACTAAATCCAACCCACAAAAGAAGTTCAATTCTTGAGCACACCTATTTAACTATTATTGTATTTCGCAATCGGGAGCTTTCGAAACTATTTAGAGACGTGTCAAAGATGAATAGTTCACCATCGCCGATTTCTCTGTCACGCCTCTTCCTGTTGATTTTGGGATTGGTGTATGCACTCAAACCCACGGCAAAGGTTGATGGTCTGCGATCCGTGGACAAATCAATGTTTGTTGTATTCGGGCGACCTGGATCAGGAAAGACTACGGTTGCAAACAAAGCATTTGATATGTTATCAATTGAAGCGAAAAATCGTACCGAGAAAGAAAAATGTGTTGCGTTGGACCTCGATGTCTGCGTAACACAGCTTATGCGTGACAACTTTAGCAAGGGCATCTACCCAACACTGGAGGAAAGGAAAATATTCGCTATTGATGCGTGCGACTACGTAGACGAGCAACTCGCAACCATCTGTGAACCAAAAAATGAACCAGATAAGATAAATGCGATCATATCCTTTAGCTTCGTGAATACAGACTTGAGGGAGATATTTATCTCGCGTTTTCCAGAAGCCGAGTGGATTTTGATTGATACGAGTGAAGAGGAATGCACGAAGCGAATCAATGAACGAGAAGGTCACTTTTACAAAGGCGAAGTGGTTACTGATGAATCGGATACCAATGTAAATGATGAGGCGGATGCGACGGAGAATGAAAAAGATAACAGCGACTGGAAATTTGCACCTGTCACTTTTCCGCATGTTATTCTAAATGGTCTAGATGCAGTTGAAGATAATGCACAGAAGGTTGTCGACAAAATTTTAGAAAAAACTACATAGAAGAAGTATTTAAATTGGTTTTGGGATCACAAGTGCAAACAATTTGAAAGCTATTGAAACTCGTTTGTCTCGTTTAGGAATTCTTGCACTCTTCTATCGATAAATCGCACTTTATCGACGAGCTCGGGATCGGCTCCACCAGGGACTCTGCTGAAGCCATCTAATGCTTCCTCTGTAAGGCTTGCCATTTCTAATGCAAATTCGTTACCCCGTACTGTCAGTCCAGCCTCAAGGACACCAAGAAGCTCCTCTTCTTTTTCGTACCCCATCAGTTGCCCTAGGACCAAGGCAGCTTCTCCTAGATCTTGACCTAGTTCCTCCAAAACTCGAGTCTGAATCATTCGCAAAATATCGAGAAGCCTGGTGCTTTCCGGCGTCAATTTCTCTTGGTTTGATATTCGATCGCATTCGCCATCGATGTGCCGTAAGAACCCACTTGAAAAGTTTTTCTTTTCTTCTTTCATGATAGTGTCTAATAATTGTTCTCTTTTACTCGCCGAGTCTTCCTTCGAAATAATTCTTCCTTCTCCTCCAGCAACCGATTGGTCATTCTCTGATGTCACCATCGCCTTGATTATTTTCCCCAAAAGCTGTTTGTTAGCGGCATCCATTTCTTGTGCTTGACGAACGAAGTCTTCAGCGAAACCCAAAATCATATCTATCGTTTGTAGTGTCTGCGTGTAAACGCTGTCGTCGCCATCCTTCTCTCCATCTGCCTTGGCGTCCTCTAGTATACTGGTAATTATTTGAGCACCATCCTGTCCTTGTAAGCCAATGATCACCTCGATGTTGTTCGCTAAAAGCCGTGGAATATGCTCTGACTTTGACGATTTCATGACCTCTTCCACTAGACCCACGAAGTCTTCCTTGCTTGTGCCAGTGGCATCGCCACCTCCCGGTGTCGATTCTCCTTCAGGCGATTGTAGCAAGTCAGTTTCATCACCCCCTTCTGGATAATTCGGTTGGCTGTCCTGAGGACTAGCAGAGAGACGCCTCGGAGACAGACTTATTGGTTCGTGATTTGATCCCACTTCACTGCCGGACTCATTATGTGTACGCCTCAATGCGGGATTACGTACGCTGGACAAAAATGCATGGGCGAAATAACACCGATTCACTGAGAGACAAATCTGGACCACAAGCAGTAGAGACAAACGGGATGGCATTTGTTGCGTAGAGTTAACTTGACGAGAATCCGAAAATGATAAGTGAAGTATTCCTATTTCGTTTCTGTGTAAACGCAGCAGAACGTCTTCGATTTCGGTTATTTTTGAAGTATCATGAAGAGTACAACAAATACAGGGATTTTTTTCTATCGAGAACTGTGAAAATCTTTGTCATGGTGGGTTTCAGTCGCGATGTCTCACAGGCAGGTTGGATACGATTACCAGTACCAAAAAATCCTACTCGTACCAATTTCGTAGATATCGCTACTGTTTCATTTCATTGGCGAGGAAGAGGTATTGTAAGTCGAAAACTTACGGACAACGCAAGGACTCTCCAGAACGAACTATGAAGACGAGTGGGTAGTACAATACGGTACAGTACCAGATTAGTAATTCGTAATAAAATTACACCTAAAATTAACGATTTTCGGCCACCCACTAGTATGAGTAACTTGGCTGACTAGGTCTAAGCCGCTAGAGCATCCTTTGGCTTCCCAATGACCTGGATCTTTAAGTAATTGTATCATCTTGGTCTGGGCACTTAGTCTGGTGGTGGTCTAAAGTTGTTTTTTGACAGAGTTCTGCTGGCCTATTTTCTAGTAACCAGGAGACGCCGGTCTCCTCGTCCACCACTGGCCAAATTTGGCCATATCAGCTGTTAATGGAGAACTGGCTCCCCCTGGCCCCTAATCGTGTAACAATGACACACAGCACTCTTCTTAACACTTTGACCAAGCATATCCCCAAAGGGGATCTCATTTGAGCCGGTTGTTGAGCACTTTTAATGGGCGGCCTCATAGTAAACACTCCTCCTGTCTGTGGTCAAAAAATGACAAAAAACTCATAGATCTATGTAGGATCAGTACTAAATACTGGGCTTCAAAATTAACAAAATTAACCATGATGCTACTACTAGTAATAATTTTTGGTGTGAATCAGTTTGAGTAAATTTACTTTTTTCCAAGTAGTGCGCTGGGGTAGGCTTTTTACGGTTAACACATTTTATATCAAATTAACTGGTGGTACATTACTTGTCTCGTGAAAATAGAAAATGATGTGAAATCAGTTTCAATCTCTTATGAAACTTCTTTGTCCTACTAGTACTAGGAACAATTTCTCAAAATCTATCCAAGAAGCTGCAAGCAAATAACAAATTATATCTGGAAATATATCAAGAAGAAACCACCATCATCCACTACTATTGATCTTTGCTTTTTCCAACAAGGATGTCTCAATCAAAGCAGCATGATGATGTGGTGTCCAGTAAATTGCTTATAAAAAAGGGACTAGTAGTGCTGATGGTGTTAGTAGTAGTAGTAGTTCTTGTTGTACTAAAAGTGCTCTGGCACCATTTGTGATGGTAGCAGCAGGTGTTCTTAAAGTAGTAGTATTAGTAGTACTACTAGTACTACTAGAGGGAAGAAGATAAAAATTCCATGGCAGCATAGACAAAGAGTTTTAAGCAGCATTTAGTAGTATCTGTTTTAATAAAGAATGAAATTTTCATAGTACTATCTGAAGTGTATAAAAATGTGAGGGGGATAAACCACCAGCCCCAACAGCTGAGACCAGCAGTCCAAAATGGAGTCTCATGCTAGTAAGAGGTTGTCCGTCGTCCTTGTTTTCATGACTTTTTACTGATTGTTGTCATATTCGGAATGCAAGGCAGGTAACTTACAAATACAATAAAATGTTCTTTGCTTTGCAACATCCTGTTGAGACCTACTAAGTAGAGTGGTTTCATTAGTTCTACCCAATATGTGTATTCCACTGATGAGTAACGCAGGGAGCAGTTGTAAGTCAAATCGAACTGATCTTCTCCATCTCGTTGCTTTCGTAATTTCAAGATGGACGAAACATGCTTCGCCCCACAAGCACAGAAAAATTGCATCGTTACTATTCCATCTCCTGCCATGCTTGGTTCTTCACATGTTTCTGTTCGCAAGATGGAACGGAAAACCTTATTGGGCGCTTGGCTAAACCTACAGACGGCGACCTGCGCTTTTACTCGTGAGCAGCATTCAACTCGATTGCACAGCACAAAGTTATACAACACCTGATTTAAATCACTGTTCTACTGGAAGCTAACAACGTATTTTGATCAAACGACAAAATATCGTTCAAAAGCGCAGGTATGTAACTGAATCTATTATTACACATCGAGCTGTAACTCCATGATGAAATGGAATCCAAACGAACCCCAGAATTTCCAGCGCATAGGTGACTCACTAAGCTAAGTCTTTCATAAAGGCTGCATGCTTATTTCTTCAAACTTCCCAAGGCAACTCCGGCTCCAGCCAAAACTGCGGACAAAGGAACAAGGATGAGACCAAGCAAAACTCCGGCAGAAAGACCAATGAAAGGAATTTCGACATTGTTGACGATCAAGGCGGCGTCAAGTCCGGCCAAAACGGCGGCGGCACCGAAAAATGCAGCTGGGCCAACCTCGAGGGCTCCAGCAACAACAGGAAGAAGGAATGGGGCTCCCTCAACAAGAAGGGGGGCAGCCAAGTTGACCAACAACTGCTGGTTGTTAGCAGCAAGGCTCAAAAGTCCGTATTCTTCGGCGAGAGGGAGGAGCTTTTCTACGGTGGCCAAGTCGAGGCCGTTCTTCTCGAGCTTGGAAAGAACACCATTGTCGATGGTAGCCTGAAGAAGGTCAAGCTCACGAACTCGCTTAACAACGTTGTACTGTTATGTGTCGTTGTGTGAGGGGAGTTCACGACAGAAGATACACGACGAGAATAAAAAGGTGAGCACAGCATGCATTGACAAGAAAAATACGTGGTGTTGTCCATTGATCGTTATACCACCTTTTCCATTCAACGCCGTGTACACATCAGTCAAGTCTTACCTTGCGGTTAAGCATGTTGTCTTCGTTGATTCTGTTAGCATATTGCTTGTATTCTTGTTCTCCCTTGAGAAGGTCGGGTTGGTTATCGTATGTACTTTCACCCAATCCGAGTCCGAAATCCTCGTAAAGCTGTGTGGACGAAGGGACATTTGCCGTTCTGGATGTTACAGCGGGTGTGAATGCAACAGCGGCACTGGCCGTGATGGCCAACATAAACAATTTCATCAAAGGCGCCATTGTTGAGTGTTTACTTTGTTATCAGCTACGGAAGAAATAAGGAATAACAGAATGAACGTATGGATGCAATGGTTGAATAAACCGAACATGCAGCATGGTCGGGTGCGGGGGGTTCCTCCTCCTCCGGCAAAAGGGCTTCTTACTGGCCCGTTCGGATTTGCCATGCGTACGAGGAATACGTAATAGTACGTTCTACTCTGTAGCCCATACGATAGCAGCTACTTACAGAAGCCGATGACGTCTGCGTATCAAACACATAAACTTCAACCTACCTTAGAGGATTGATAGCATACTCTGATATGATATGAGGATATCCTAGGCGTGCTAAAAAGTTTTCAACCCATCTCGTACTTGTAATTCGTTTTGTACCGAACAGTACGAAAAACTCGTTCCATACCTGACGACTCAAAAGATGACTGTAACCTTCAAAATGTACGTGTGCTCTTTAGTTCTGTATTTACGTGTTTACAATAAAGAGTGAGCTTATTCACTATCCACTCGTGATTTAGGCTCACAACGTAGGTCTACGCTGCATGATAGCTTCAGTCTACTCCTGTTCCTATTTCGTAGTACGAAGTAGTAAATACGAACCGTACGGATTTGGTACTTGTAGGTAAGGTACTATTTTCTGGATCACGAGTAGCTCGTGAATAACCTCCTTCAGATTGAAGTAATTCGTTCTGATGAACGAATAGCAACTACTACTAGTAGTAAATTTCAGAAGTGAAACAGACGCGCTGCTCTCGAGCATAATGTGATTGTGATCATTAGCCTTTGTTCTGCTAGTCTGTCTTCTTCTTTGCTTCCTCCGCCTTCTTGGCAATCTCTCTCGTATTTTTCAGATACATCCAATGCTGAACAAACATCATCAGACTAAGAGATCCCGACAAAAGATATCCGGACATGACCACGACGTCACCAGTCTCGTTGATGGTCGTCAATATTCGAATAACGGCCCCGACTAGGTTCATTGTGGTCGTAACAATCGAGAGGTTTCCAGTTTGCTTCACGCAAAATGTTTCGTACACCTGCGAGCCACGGGCGTAGAGCATTACTGGCCACGTCGTGCTCATCAACATGTACCAATAGTCTTCGGGCAGAAAATTCAAGACCGCAGCGACATAAAGAGCAAAGAACAGGATTGCCATGATCTTCTCGTCTGATCCGACTGGGGTGTTGGTCTTGCTCAAAAAATTCCACGCGAGGACAATCAAGACCGAATTTTGAAGCAACAGCGAGGCGTTTTCCCCGCTAATTCACAGGAGAAACGCAAAGTCCGTTCCAAATTGCCCAAAAAATTCGAGCATTCCACGAAAAAGTGATAGCAAAAAACAATACCAAAAACATAGTTAGTTATAACTTGCCTGGCCTTAGTGTCATGTTTTTGCGAACTCAAAGCAACATCGAAAAGCGTTGCTTGTGATTCGTGTATATTCCTCTATTTCAGCGGTACTTGAATTGCAAAACTGAGGAACAATCGGCGAGAACCGAGGTAAATGCAATGGATCAAATTGAACTCACTAAGCAGTAAACGGATGCCCCGATAAGAATCCGTACAAGGCGCAGTTTGCGTAGACTATTGCCTCACCGTACAACGAATTGCGGGAAATCCCGGCCGCAGATTGCGCCTTCAGCATGTTAACCATGATCGGAATCTTGTTCAGCATCGACGCCAGGATGATCAAAACCCCCAGGGCCTTAGTCAACAGCTGGGACAAACAGGGGCCGCTAAGGAACGGGACTTGCGAGAGACAAGAGGACGAACCCTCTTCTCCCCAGATCCATTCTGCCAGCGGCTTCACGAATGGAATATCGGTAATTTCGACCATGGTGTGCTTGAAAACAAAAATGGTTTCACAAACCGTGTTCGAAGAAATCAACGCTGTGGCGCGTTTCGTAGATCAAGACTTTCTGAGTTGCTGGGGTAGAAAGACTTCTCAGGTCTTCCTGATCGTTGTTGATCGATGAGAGAAAAATTCAGAGAAATGCAGATTTCGTCATTCCTCAGTGCATGGCGTACGGTACGTACCGTACGGTGTCAACATGGTCGTACGAATACTCGTATCTTAACCTACGTACCATAAGGTACGTACTACGATGATGGCATTCGGCTATGTCTCTATCTTCGTTTTTGACCGTGCTTGCGATGAGCATAGTATGAAGAAGTACAGTGCGTACAGTACAGTACAATATGGTACGTACTACAAAGGCCCGTAGTTATCATATCATATCGTATCGTACTTGTCTCATGTACTGTATCTCATGTACGTACACTAATCACGTATGATACCATAGAATCATCGCAAGGGGTTTCATTCCGAAAGATAGCAAAACCCAAAGATACTCGTACTCGTAGTACTCGTACTCACGTACTCGAACCACCGATCGTACACGCATCTTACTGTACGGTACCATACGTACGTACTCCTACCGTGGAACACGTTGAACGTGTCTTTCACAAGACGTATCCACGGTGTCAACAACAGTCGCCGCAAACAGATCGAACAACACCGGCGCTTCCGACTTTGGAGGATACTTCGCAGTAGAAACGTTCTAAAGAAACGAATAAAGGAGAAGAAACTCGGTGAACCATGACCGTTCCTTACCGACTCACCAAGGTTTTCTGTGTGGTCTCCTTTCTGTATTGCCCGCAGATGACAGCTGCCTTCGTGCCGGCGGCGCTGCCGTTCCCGGTAGTTCGGACCGGCAACACGAAGCAATCGACCCAGAAACTGAACATGAGCGTTCCCAACAACCTGGACGTTTTGACCTCGGGGCTGGCGTCTATTTTCTGCCTGCCCCGTGGTGTCACGGTGTCGTCTCCCCCGGCGGGAACCAATGGCATTCGGATTGCCAAGCTCTACGACGTCGAAAACTCGAAGGAGTGCCGTGGAGTCCGCGAGCGAATCACCGAGCTGGACCTCGTCGTCGAGCAGGTCGTCCCGGTGGCTGCCGGTTCGAGCAACGCGGCTTTGCTGCCTGGGGGAAAGGCCCCCGTTTTGGTGGTGGCGTCGCCGCCGGCGGCCGGAGACGAGAAAGAAACACTCCGGACGATCCAGGGCCGGGGAGCGATTCTGGAATATTTCGACGAAGCCTTTGGCGGTGCGTCCCAAAGCAATGCTGGGAGCAGCCAAGAGGAATCGGAGGACGACGCCCTGGCCATTGCGAAGGAAAAGCTCCGGCTCGCGGGTGTGTATCTGGCGGGGTGGATGCGATCCGGGAGAGGGGAGGCCGTGTCCCCGTCCGTTGCGTCTCCATCGGAAAAGGCCAACCGCCCCGAGAAGCCACTGGTGCTGTATTCGTACGAGGGAAACCAGTTTTGCCGGCTGGTGCGCGAGGTGCTGACGGAACTGGACATCACCTACGAGCTGCGCTCGGCCGGGAAAGAATCCCCCCGTCGCGCCGAGCTCGCGTCGATCACCGGGGGCTCCTCGCAGTGCCCCTACCTCATCGACCCCAACACCGGGGTGTCCATGCCGGAGAGCGCCGACATTGTGGAGTATCTGTACAAGACCTACGCGCTCTGGACCCCCCCGAGCGAGATACTCGGCTGGGCATCCACCAACGTGATGGCCCTGGCCAAGCCCGTCTTTGGCTTTCTGGCCCCCCTGCAAGCAGGAGAAAAAGACGCCGAGTCCAACTACAGGGGCAACCTCGAGAGTGCAAGGCGCGAGATCGAGGCCGAGGTCTCTAGGAAGGCCGTAGTTGTCTATACCTACGAACTGTCGCCCTTTTCTTCCGAGACAAAATCCCTCCTGGAACGACTCGGCGTGGAGTACAAGGAGATATCGCTGGGAAAGGAGTGGCTCCCCGGTTTGATTGCCGAAAACGGAGCCATCAAGAGGGCAGCACTCTTGGATATGACCGGTCAGTCTTCGTTGCCGCACATATTCGTCGATGGCAAATCGATTGGGGGTCTCTACAGCGGATCTCCGGGCCTGGTGCCCATGTTAGAGAGAGGAGAGTTCTCCAAGGGAAAGCTAGCGAGGGAAACGTTTTCTGGAATAGATGACGACGCCGATGCCTTTCAGTAGGGGCAGATTTTTGTTGTGGTCGGGTCTCGAAGCTAGATAAGAGTACGTTGCGACCTATTGGTACCCCTAAAATAGTTTTAGAATCCAGTGTCGCTTTCTACGATCTGTTTTTTATTCCTTTCTCTTCAAGAGGCAGCGGTGGATAGGAGTTCCGTTGATCGCACAGGTCGCTTCTGTTTCGGTGGCTCCTTTTCTGTGCAAAATATTTCTCTGAAACCAGCCGCGGCCCTCCGCTCGTTCCCCGCCCATTGCCATCCAATCCAGCGTTCTTTGCGGGGTTCTTTGTTGTTTGGACAAACCGTCGGACCGGTCGTCGTCTTTGTTGTCGTCGTCGATCGACTCAAACCCGACGGTTCGGCACGCGAGGTTCCGCATCCACACCGCGACGTCTTCGCAGTTGCTCTGCAGGAGGAGCCTTCCCCGTGTCGGATGAAGGCTCGAGTGGATGGTTTCCAAGAGCTTCTCCGTGACCATGAAACCATCGAGTTGCGACGCGGGGAGCTGGGAGTTCCCCCCGTCCTTGTTTTGCAACCGAAACGGTCTGCACAATTTAAAAAAAAACGCGACGAATCAACCCGATCAGGCAATGCCCAACAACAAACGACGACGCAAACGACGACGCAAACGCAAAACGCAAAACCAATACGCCACGCAGCGCTCCAAAGATACTCACGTCGGAAACTGGATCATGCAGCAGCGCACCTCCCCCGGATACGATCCGAGCTTCCGGCAAAAGTCTTCCGCGGAATCGATGGCAAAGGCGAGCTCTCCCTCTAGGTCCCACCGATGTGCGATCCCCCGGCCGTACCCGATCCCGAGCGCACCCAGGTCGACGCCCACAAAGTTGCAGTCCGACCACCTCGCGTCGCCCCCCAGCAACAGGCGCGCCGATTCTCGCTCCTCGCCGTTTTGGCGACCGGGAGTGGAGGCAAGCCCCAGCAGAGACACCCCCATCCCGCAGCCAACGTCGACCACGAGGGGACGCGTCGCGTCTCGGAACATGGTCTCCCACTCGTAGGAGGAGGGTCCTTCGTCCGGACGATTGCTGGCGGCACCGGATGCCCTGGACGATTCTTCGGTTTCGGTTTCCGTGGCGTTGTGCGATCCTTCTTCTCGGTGGTAGTCTTCCCATTCTTTCCGGACGGAGCGCAGGAATGCTTGCTGTTTCTTTTGCTTGGTTGCGAACTTCCAGATCAGCAGCAGCGATCGGTCCGAGTGCAGGTTCGGGGACGCCGCCGGCACAAGGGCACCCTCGGTTTCGCCCGCGAAACCTCCCCCCCCCGCCTGTTTGGAACGGAGGCACCTCCGGGCCACGGCCTCCAGCCGGTCGTGCCCCAAAAGCCCCGCCGCCGAAAACCGCTCCAGGATCTGGTAGACGTTCTTGCTCTTGCAGGAGGGCCGCTGGCCGAAGCGGTCGAGCTCCCAGCTCGCCGCGTCCGCCAGCCCGCGAAAGAGGCGGGCGTCCTTGGTCCCGGCCAGGGCAAACCACAGCGCGGCGTCCGCGGCCGTCCTCCCCCCCAGCTCGGTCCGGAGCGTGGTCTGCTTCTTCGAGACCTCCACGTCCGGTGCCGCCTCGGCCTGCTCCAGGGTCCTCGTTTCCTCCAGGAGGACCTCGAGCCGGGCCCTGGCCTTGTCCACCAGCGCTTCTAGGGACTCGGTGCGGGGCCGGTTCCGCCAAGGCGTCCGGGGCCGCTGGTTGTCTTCCACGGCGAGCCCCAGCGCCGCGTGCGCCAGCTGCAGTATCTTCGTGCCCGACCGGAACTCCTCGTCCCGGGCCTGCTGCCCCACCGTGGGGACCAGGCTCCACCTGGCACCGCCCCCCTCCCTCCGGGGAAGGTCCCGCAGGAAGACCTCGTGGCCGCCCGGGATGCCCGGATCGCCGAGGATCCGTTCTTTCAGGTCGTCGGCGCCGGTGTAGTTTCCCTGCCACCGGGCCAGGGACCGCTCCCTCACCAAACCGTCGATGCGGTCGAAGTCTTGGGCACCGAGCAGCGCGCGGACCCCCTCCTCGTCGGTGCAGCACGTGCCGTTTGCGTTGGAGTCTGCGTTGGCGTTGGCGGCGTCGATGCCGGCGCTCGGCGTTGCCGTCAGGGGTGCCATTGCATTCGTCCACCGGCTTGCCGAGCGAAGGCGTAACCGCCATTTCCGATTCGAAGGAATGCCGGTGGTTCGTTGCAAAGAAGCGGTTGCGGAGGAGAATGCCAGTGCCGGAGGTCCCCGGAAAAGCACGGGAGTCGCTGCCAAAGCCTCGACGGACCATGCCGACCTGACGAAATACAGCGTTGCTAGTATGCGATTCATTTTCGTCCACCCAATAGTTTTCGGTTTTCGAGCCACGGCATGTCGCGTCGGTGTTTTCGAGTTACTTGGGTTGGGTTGAGTTGAAGAACAATAGGATGGTGAATGCTCTCGGTGGTGGTGGTGGCAATGATCGAAACGTTCGAAGGTGAAAAGAAGGTTCCGTTGTTTGGTTTGGTTTTGTTTCGTATCGTTTGTTGACGTTGGTGTTTGTTGTTGGTGTGAAAAAAAAATCTGAATTTCGGTGACTTGTTGATGGCTACCAGGGGAATTTGAACATTGACTCTTTCGATTCGATTCGATTCGATTCAGTACAAGAGATCGTACGATCCGTGACGTACAGTGAGGTACGAGTACGTATGTCCACTACGTACGTATGTACGGTATGGTTACCGTCTACTGTCTACTGGCTACAGAATGTGGGGAAATGAAAAACAGCGAGAAAAAGGAAAAAGCATTTTTTGCGAGACGAAACGGTTTTACGTAGTTGAACGTACCAGTACGTACGTAGCCACTGCACCAAATTAATCGCGACGCTTTCTGTTTCTTCATCTCTCGGATGGAATTTTCGGGAACTGGAAGACGCTTGGCACACCAAACGAAATTGGAATTGGAACATCTCTGCAACCAAACCTCGGAAGACTCTGCAAGCGACAGTATCATTTATACGGCAGATGATGGAAAGAATGAACGTTCGAGTCGATTGAAACCATCGACCCAGGATCGGGAGGATGCCTCGCCAATTTGCAATCGATGGATGCTTTTGGTTTTGAGTGTTGTCCGATGCAGCGAGGGTAGAATCGAAATCCCTTCTTTTTCCCAGTCACCAGCTCTCGAATACGACTCAAGGCTACTGTTTTTCTTGTGGACCCCGGTGTTGAAATCCCACCGATCCCACGGAATTGATCCCCGTTCCTTCCTCCGGAGACCACACCACTAACAACAACAACCAAAAACCAACAACCAACAACAACAACCACCACCACCACCACCACCATGGTGAAACCTTCCAAGTCGATGCAGCCGGAGCACGTCGACCTGCAGCAGGCCAGCCGACGGACCGGGAGTGGCGCCGCCTTTGGGGAAGACTCCTTTCGAAACTACATGGCGCTGAAGATCGCGGGGCAGCGAAGCCAGTTCGGGCTGGTCCTTCCTCCCCCACCACCACCGCCATCCTCGGAACAACAGCAACAGCAACAACATCATCAACAACAACAGCAACAGCAACATCATCATCATCAACAACAACAGCAGCCACAACGACACCATTCGGAGACGAACCCGGTCCGGAAAGCCCCGGAGAGACAGCCGGCCGGGGGACCCGGTGGTCCGGGGGAACGACCGACGCTGCTCGGGAAACGATCGCTCGCGCCGCTGCGGCAATGGCCGCTTTCGCCGTCCCTTAAGCCGAGCGAGCCGAACGGCGGCGGCCATTGCAGCAGCGGCGCATCCGCACCCGCTCAAGGCGACCGCTCGGTGCGGTTTCTCGACAAGGCCCGCCCGCGGACCGGACCGGAGCGCGGGAGGACCACCATGGAATCGGTGATCCGTCGATTGAAACGACGCCACGGAAGGGGGAACAAGAGGCTGGGCCGAAAAAAGGCCCGGAACGAAACACAAGAGCCGCCCGCCGACGACGAGGAAGAAGAACCCCCGAGCCAGAGCGCCGAGGTTCCGGCCCCGGAGCCCGAGGACAGCCTCGCGGAACTGGTCCGAATCTTTTCGGCCGCAGCCGAAAACGTACCGACCATCCTTTCCAGCGATCGGGGACCGAGCGGGGACGATCCTTTCTGCCAACCACGCAACGCCGCTGCCGCCGAGGTGGCTGCTGCCTCGGACGGTTCGGGTTGGCCGGAAGGAATCGATTCGGGTCCGTCCGTGCCGTTCCGGGAAAAAGAAAAAGCAACAAACACAGAATCCGATTCCGAATCCCTCGACGGCGAAAGAGGCGGGGCATCGCAGCAGCCAGCGACGAATGTGGCCGCGAGCACGCAAGCGCCTCCCTCGCCGAGAAGCATCCGAATGTCCCGCCCGGACCTCTTCTTTTACGGGGTCGTCGTAAAGGTTGCCGGTTACACCAGCCCGGACAACGAAACCATCAAGCGGCTGTTGCAAAAGCACGGGGGGGACCTGGAAACCTACGAAACCGAGCGGGTCACGCACATCATTGCGCAGCAACTGTCGGTGAGTCGGTTTGTCCTCGATTGTGTGTCGTTGCGATTGCATCTTAGAGATACCGTAGATCATTACGGAAGTGAACTCGCTCGTGGAGGATCTCACTTGGTTTTTTTGTCGTTTGTGCCAATGAAACAATAAAACAAAAACAAAAAAGATGGCAAAGGCCAACGTGTACAAGAAAGCCAGACGGCCCCGACCGGTTTGCCGTCCGTCTTGGATCGTGGATAGTGTCCGGGAAGGAAAGCTGCTTCCGCACGGAAATTATCTTCTCATCGAAGAAAAGGATCAGCAGCAAATGGGTATCCGATCCATGTTTCAGAAACAGAGTGCTCCCGCACCACTCCAGGGCACCAAGACTGCGCGTTTGCCTCCACCTTTGTCACCACAAAAGACGGGCCCGAAGTACATCAACCCCTATGCAAAGCCGAAGAACCCCCCGCCACGCAGCGATTGCAATCCAAGCAGATCCCCGCAAAAAGCCGATCGAAACCATTCCGAGTCGGAAGAAACGAAGCCGCGGTCCCCGGCCAAAAGCAAACCCGAGAATGGCCACGGGGTGCAGCACAGTCCGGAAAAGACCGGAACGACCGACAGGAAGTTCCTGAATGGAAAAGTTCGAACCGTCGGAACCGATCCAAACTTTCTCGACTCTTATTTTGCCGCCTCTCGACTTAGCTTCATTGGGAGTTTTAAGCAGAGAACGGCGTCCACCAATCATCCCAACCGATCCGTCTCTTCCTCCCCCGCTGAGAAGCTCATTTTTCACGTCGACATGGACTGCTTCTTTGCATCGGTTGTCCTTCGCAACTTTCCCCAATACCGAAACAAACCTGTCGTCATTTCGCACCATGGAAAGAGCAGCACAAACGAACGGCCTAGTGACGGCCATGGCAGATCGGGCCAATCCTCCTTTGATCATTCCAAAGCCCAGCAATCGAGACACATTCCAAAGAAGTCTTCCTCGGAGTGTGCAACATGTAATTACGAGGCGAGGAAGTACGGGATCAAAAAGGGAATGTTCTTGGGGCGAGCAAAAGAACTTTGCCCCGATCTCATCGTCTTGGACTATGACTTCAGAGGATACGAAGAAGTGTCCCAGCAGGTTTTGGAGATTCTCGATCGCTTGGCCCGCTCGGAAAACCGCTGCGGCACGGTGGAGATGGTCTCGTGCGACGAGGCCTACGTCGAGCTAAGCTTCGATGCTTCGGGTGGCTGGGAAGAAGTCTACGACCACGCTTCCGACCTCGCGGAATCGGTCCGAACCGAAATCTTTGAAACGACACGGTGCACGGCGTCGATTGGCGTGGGACCAAACAAGTTCCTGGCAAAGCTGGGGACGGACAGAGCAAAGCCCAACAACTCGTTCTGCGTTCGAGATCATCGAGAGCTACTGAAAGCGCTGAAGCTTCGAGACATGCACGGTGTTGGTTGGCGCACCGAAAAGAAACTCACGGAGGAGGGCCTTGTATCGGTGCAGGACGTCTGGGATCTCGGACCGAGGGGAGAATCGGAGTTGATTCGCATCCTGGGACCGGGGACGGGAAAGAAGATTTTTTCCTTCACGCAAGGAAAAGACGACAGGCCCATCACGCCCGTAGAACGAAAGACGATCGGAGCCGAATGCAACTACGGCGTTCGATTCGACGGACCCTACGGAATCGACCATTTCATGGAGGGCCTTGCAAAAGAAGTGGAAAAACGCATGCTGGGGATTTCCACAAAGGGAAAGCGGCTCACGCTGAAGATCAAGCAGCGGAAAAAAGGCGCCAGCAACCACCACAAATTTCTGGGCCACGGATCCTGCCACAACCTCTCGAAGAGCGCGGGCACGCCCGGAGACGTGGCAACCAGCGATTCCAAGGTGTTCAAGAGGGTCGGCATGAGCCTGTTTCGAGAATTCGGAATCGAGGACATCAACGAGATTCGTGGCATGGGCATCACGATCAGCAATCTCGAGAGCGACGGTGCCACCGGAACCGAAAGGAACAACCACGGAATGAAAAGCTGGTTGCAACAAAACATCGACCGGACGGCACACGAAAACAGCAGCTCAAAAGAGAAGGGTGAAACGACGAACCAACCAATGGACGAAGAAATTGGTGTGGTCGAACGTGTTTCGGAATCTACGCCCGAACCTAAAAAGGTGTCGGAAATCGACCCCGAAACCGAGGGGGAAGGGAACCAATCTCCTGCGAATCACGGCTCACCGCTTGTGATCGACTTGCCTCCGATGAGCCAAATCAAAATGACCCAGGTCGAAGCACTGCCCCAAGAGTTCCAAAAACAGATTCTTTCGAGAATGAGGGAAGCGGGTGAGGGTACCGGTGCCACCAAAGGAGGCAATGCAGGGGTGCGTGCCGACGCCGGAACGCTGCCGGTGAGAGATTCGAGCAGAGACACCGAACCATGGCACGGCGTTGCCGACGACGAGCCCCGCTTCGATCCCGATGTTCTGCAATTCACACCGCAATCGAAAGGCGAGTCTGTCACAGACCTCGATTTGGAAGAGAGAGTGGATGGAAACAACAACCCAAGCTTCGATTCTCCTCTGGTGATCGAATTGCCCCCGATGAGCCAGATCCAGATGAGCCAGGTAAAGGCGCTGCCCCCGGATCTCCAGCAGCAGGTTTTTTCCAGAATGAACAAAATCGCTGCCGGTGCCACGGACGAAGGCGCCGGGACGATCGACGAGGCACCTTTCAACCACAGTGTTCCAAAGGCACAGCCGGAGGGAGACGGACAGGGGCATGGACCCTTCCACAACGCCGGTCGCTTCCGGCAGACCAGCCTGAAGCGCATGATGAAGCTCGCGGCCGTGAAATCGGGCCACGAACGCACGAGCATCTCGCTGACCCAGCTGGAACAGCTCCCGCTGGAGATCAAGCTCCAGGTGGTCAACCACGACGACCAGCGTGTGGGCGTTTTGTCGAAGCCCGCGCCGCGGGCGGCCAAAGCCGGCGGCAACGACCAAAGACCGAGAACCTCCATCCCCGGCACGACCGATGCGGGGGAACGGCCGCGTCCGAAACCAAAGCGAAGGAGCGGCGATTTTGCGACGACCACCAAACCAAGCCACGCGACACGTTCTAGTACTAAAAAGACCAAGCAGGATTCGGAACGAAAAAGGATTCGGTTTATGGCTAGGGTAGACTCGTGGAGGGAAGACGTGCTGCCGCTGAGGGAGTTCCTCGACGGCTGCTGCCCGGTCCGCGATCAAGGTTCGTTCGACAGGGTGGTCGACTTCCTCTCGGTGGTCGTGCGGGAGGGGAGGTCTTGCGCGGCGGCGACCATGGTGCGCAGCCTCCGCCACCGGACCGACGAGTGGGGGAGCAAGAGCACGACGGCAAGGATCGCCCGGGCTCTGGACCGCGTGCACGCCGAGCGGTACGGGTCGGGCCTCGACGCCGAGTGGCTCACGGGGAACGAAGAGGGGTGACGCCACGACACGCCGCAACACGCCAAACCCCCCACCAAAACGGCACCCGGTCTACAGGACCTCGCCCCCGCCGTCTTGCGATGGTGCATCGAGGTGGGGCCGCTCCGGCCAGGGCATATCGGCGGTGGCGGAACGGTTAGTTGCAGAAAAGTACGTAAGACTAGAATCGTTGAAGGCTTGCTCGAAATAGGCCGAGCGATCGGCAACGTCCCTCTTGTCCATTTCTAGGGTTTTGACCTCCCAGAAGGGCTGCAGGACCTCCAGAATCGAGAGTGCCTGCTTCCGCTGCGGATCGGTGGCGATCGATGTGTTTCCCCCGTTTATGTAGTTGCCCAGCGAGTTGCCGAATATCGCCACCAGCCGCAGGCAGTCCCAGTTGGTGTGGAGCAGGTTGGTGTAGAGCGACAGGGGGCAGTGCGGCATGAAAAAGAGGGTTGCGCTGTTGTCGTTGCCGTCGTTGTTGCCTTTTTGGTCGCCGCTGTTCACGGAACGCCTCCCCCGCTCGTTCTCCTCGATCACCGTGATGCCGAGTCGTTCCAGCACCTCGGACTCCTGTGGCGTCATGATCGGCTCGTAGTAGCTCATTTTGGGCAGAGGCGGTTGCGGGCCTTTCCCCCTTCCGGCGTGCTCCCGGATCAGCAGGGCCAGCGCGAGCTGCCACGTGGGCCCCGACGGCCGCTTCGTGCCAAAGGCACCGATCCCGTAGCAGACGATCGACCGGAACCCGGGGCCGCCGACGGTGCCTCCGGCCGGGTGGTCCAGGGCCTCCCTCACGGTTTCCCAGTACCGGCTCTGCCGCAGCTCCCCCAGGCAGGCCTCCAAGGCCCCCTCGATCTGGTCGGGGGTGACCGCATCGCCGCCCGCGTCCACCGACGACCGCAGCGTGGCGGCGACGGCCTTTTCGAAAAAGGCCGAGGCGTCCTTTTTGCCGCTTCCGAGGGCCGGGCTCGGAACGGTGGTGCCGTGCTGGTGGTTGCGGCGGCGCTGCGGCCGGCGCCGGCGGGTTGGTTTCTGGATGGTCGTCCACTCGTCTCCCGACATGGTTGTGGTTTGGAAGGTTGGGAAGGTATTCCGAGGAATACGAATACGTGGCTTCTGCGGCACTCGGTGTTCCGTTCGGATGGAGCAATAGCGATCTCTTCTCTCTTCGAAAAAAATCACAGTGCGAAAGTTTCGAAGCAGCGCGATGCCTTGTTTCGAACGAAATGCTACGGTATGAAAGAAGCAGTGGGTTTGGTTGTCGTGTTTGTCGGATTGTTGCATATACCCGTACCGTAGTATGGCAATTCGCGTCCGTCCTTTTTTCGGTACCATACGACATAAGATTGTTGGTTGGATGGAGTGACGAGACGAGAGAAACTGAAGGAGGAACGACGAGGCAAGGTTCCAGGATGCGAAATTCTTTCCTGACAACCGGGACTGGACTGAAAGTGTAAGTTATTGTGTGCCGTTAAAATGACCGTTACGGCATATGTATTATTGTAGACTGCAAAACAAAGGTCGAACCAAAGGCCGTTCAATCCGGTCAATCGAACCGTTGAGGCTCAAAAGATACGTATGAATACCGAAACGAAACGACAACACAAATGTTCTCGGAACAGAACTTGCTAACTATCTTTCCACCAACCATCCCCACACGAAAGACTCGCCCGGCAACCGCAATTCACCACAACACACCACAACACACCACAACACACCGCCATGCCCCTTTCGCTTCCAATCCGGGAATCGGTCCGGGCCGGGGTTTCGAACCGGTGCGACTTCCCCTTGGTGGCGTCGCGGTCGGCCCTGCTGGTCATCGACGTCCAGAGGCACTGCTGCGACACCGACCGGCCCGTCGTTCCCGACTACTACCGGGAGGAATCCCTCCCGAGGATGCTGGACAACGTCCGGTGCCTGCTGGAGGCCTTTCGGAAGAAGCGCGACGGGGAACCACCACCCGGGCCCGGCAGCAGCAGCAACAACAACAACAACCACCACAACAGCAGGAACAACCACGGGGCGTTTGGGGGACTGCTGGGTTCCTTCCGGCGAAACCGAGATGGAGCCAGCAGCCGCGACAGCACCAGCGAGACGCCGAAAAAGCAGGCCTTTGGGGGGATGTTCGATTCGTTCCGCGTAAGGCGTGGCGAGGTTTTGGATGGCGATGGCGATGGCGATGGCAAAGACGACGACAAAAGCAACGACAAAGACAAAGACCATGACAATGATAACGACGATGATAGTGACGATGATAGTGACAAAGACAATAACAAAGACAATAACAAAGATGACAACAAAGACAACAGCGACGACAAAGACAATGATAATGGCGATGATAGTGACCGACAAAGACAAAGACCATGACAATGATAACGACGATGATAGTGACGATGATAGTGACAAAGACAATAACAAAGACAATAACAAAGATGACAACAAAGACAACAGCGACGACAAAGACAATGATAATGGCGATGGCGATTCTGGCCTCGATGGCGATTCTTGCATCGACGGAAGCAGCCTCGGCACAACCAACGAATCGCAGAGCCTCCACGAGCACCAGCCTCCCACCGGTTTCCCCGAGGTGATATTTGTCATGATCCAGTCGATGACCAACGACGGCCGGGACCTGAGCATCGACTACAAGCTGTCGGGCCCCTTCTTCCGGGACGTCCCGACCGTGTCGTCTACCTACGACGAGATCTTTTTCCCGGCCCCCCTCGCGCCCGACCCCCACACCGGGAGGGGGGACATTGTGGTCCCCAAGACGGCCTGCAGCGCCTTTTGCACCACGAACCTCGACGTCCTGCTCCGGAGGCTCTTTGTGGAGCAGCTGGTGGTCTGCGGCCAGCTCACGGACCAGTGCGTGGAGTCGGCCGTCCGGGACGCCGCCGACCTGGGTTACCTGGTCACGGTGGCGGAAGATGCGTGCGCGGCGCACAGCGAGAAGGAGCACTACAAGGGGCTCTTTGGGATGAACGGCTTTTGCCGGATTCTGACGACCCGGGACGTGGTCCGGGAACTCGAGCGCGGGGACGGGTAGGAGCCGGCAGGTCCGCACGGAGGGAGGGAACGAATCGAGCGAACAAACGAACGAATCCGCCGGGAAGGGAGTACGCAGCCCCACAGCGGAGGCGGACAAGGTTTGGCTCCGATGCTCTCCGCCAGAGTTATGACCCGATGGGTAGCTAGGAAGACTACCAGTGTTTCTGCCTTGTCGCAGAGAAAAGTGCAAAGCTACCCATGAACTGTCGAAGCCGGGGCCGGGCCACGGTGCATGGATTCACAAGTACTATCGTCTCTGCACACCCCAGCCGGATCTTTCAATCCTGCCAAAACTTCTGTGTGTGGAAGGGTTTCCATAGAGAGATCGATGCGTGCATTCGTTTCGACTGCTACAGTAACAAATCAAAGACAAAGTCGATTTCGGCTTGGGTCTATCAGGCTGACGAGCACAGCCCAGATCTGCCCACTGGGAGCAAACCATCGTGACGACACAAGAAGTCCTACTAGTGGTAAACCACCACTGCTATAATGTTGTTGTAGTCATGTTTGCTAGCTACTAATATTACTGTCTAATACTACCAAGCATTTGCTGTGCGTGAGGACTTGTTGATTTCCATAGTAGTAAATGAAACTCAGTATAACAAGAAGCAACAGCTACCACATTTCTGTTGGCGGCCTTCGAAATACTGTTTGTCTGGGGTGAAAAGTAGTGTAAGAAGAGTAACTTTCTCTCTATTGATCTCCTGCCCCTTCTCGCTATTTTGTTGAGAAACTAATTTCAAGAAAAATACTGTTGCAACTTTTCTACTCCATTCATGTTTCGATTTCTTGCGGGACTAATGCATTGTTTTACAGCTTTTCTGCTTCGAATTTCAAATTATTTCAAAACCTCCCGTGTCTTCGAACATCGACCAATATAACTCACGATCCCAACCTGAACATACTTGGACCAAAAACACCCACGACGCAGAGATCCCCTTTTCAAGTACAACATGCCCTCCGACAGCAACTACTCCGCGGTGGCGAGATACACCCGCCAGCCCCTCTCGAAGGCCGCGAGGCCGGTGGCCCTTCACGTGGTGGACGAGAGCTGGGCTTCCGACACGCTGAGCGACGACGAGGTCGAGATCACGCGCCACGAAGCGGCGGTTGCCCCCCTGCTGGAGGAAGGCGAGCTCGACGCGGACGCCATTGTCGTTTCGTCGACGGGGAATTCCGCCTCGGCCGCAAACAACGGTAAGTCTGTCGAGAACAACAACAACAACAACAACAAGCAGAAACCTCCCGCGTGCGCCGATCTTTTTGGTCGATTCCCGGGCCAAAAGAGGGTCAAAAGAAAATCTCACGGACGCTTCCTTTGTTTTCGAAAATATGTGATACACAAAACAGCGGCAGAGAGACGAAGAAGAGAGGAAGGCTGGAATGACCTGGGACTGGATCAGATTGACGCAAATGGAGTGGGTGTTAGTACCTCTGTACCTTCCCGAATGTCTACGCAACAAGAAGGATAAATCTCATATATGTTGCGGCCTCTCATTGTTCACTTGTTTACACAAAGTGTTGAACAGCTATGCACGATCTGCTTCGAATTGCTTGGCTTTCCGCTCTATTTTGCCTACTCCTCAATGGCTTTGCCATGCACCTAACAATTTAAACGAGAAACAAAATGGCATTTCTGTGATGCCTCTCTAGGCGAGCGGCGACCAGGATAATACAATGTGCTAATTTATGAACTAATTCAGTGTCATGACGATGACACATGGCACCAGAATGAAATGCAACATCGTTGATTTACATTAAATTTACAGTAGATCTTGAACACGGTTGGAGAGAACAGCATCGTGAATATGTCGGTTGGAGAGACCTTGTTTCTACTTTCTTTTTTGTTGTGTTTAGCTAGAAACGTTCAAGTAAATGCGCTCCCCTGACAGAAACCTATCCATACGATTTATCTCGTTCAGAACCCAATTCCTTCTCGATACAGTCAGTATGGCATGAATCAGGATAGCGATCCCTGTGGTCAAAATATTATGCTGCACGATTGAAGTGGATGGTAGAAATATCTGATGATTCCCATTTCATAATTATTTGTGCATTCCAATTCATGGACTTTGTTCTCAACGGTGTGCTTTACCCACCAAACAAGCATTTACAAGATTCCTTTAAGGACCAAAAAAGTTCTTTCAGCAGTATCTCCAGGCAACCTGAAACAAGATTTTTTATACAGGGATAACCAGAATATGTTACCTTGCGAGTATTATGATAACTGAATGGTTAACGACGACAACAAGAACGAGGTCTCACTTTTTACTTGTTACAAGAACGAGGTCTCACTTTCTACTTGTTACATAACAGCATTAAGCAACGATTGACTTGGGATTGAAATTGCCTTCATCATGCTTAAAGAAATAGCGGAGCATGACAACTAGTATTGTTGCAGTGAATTCTAAATTGTTTAGAAAGAACTCTTGGTTGGAGTGCCAATAGGGTAGAGATTCTGCTCTTTGAAATTGCCATCCACTTGTGCAGTTGTGTCTAAAGTTTGAGCGTGACGAATTCGACGATGCAATAGTATTTTCTATTTTTTCATCTTCGTGTTTGACCATGAGTCACTAATTATTAGGGATTCTAGGAAAATTGCTACTACAGCAGTACCTTCCCGGTTTTTCGTAGAGGACGTCGCACATTTTCGTACTTCCTAACGTGATACGATTACGGACGGACGTACAAGTAGCAAAAAGTACTTGTACTGTTCCTTCCAAATGGTTGACGGGTTAGGCAAGACGCTGCGTCATCACCCATCACTCCCTGACATGACTTCGTGAAAACTAGCAAGAAATTGTTAGGAACAAGCATGCACACCCGCCCATCAACACAGGGTCAGGAAAGAGACGAACAAATAACCCAAGAACCAAAACCATACCCCACAACAGATTGAATAGGAACCAAAATTTCCTATCGAAACTAGGTTCAGAAAGGAATTCGAAAATCATCTACATCAGACGCGCTTATCTCGACGTATACTCCGAACGTATAGAAATAACACAGACGAACCTCGAAACAGCGGCGATGTACTCTCAAAGGATAGCCGGATGCACCGCTATGGCATCCATAGCGGGAGTTTTGATCTGCACTGTTGGTTTCACAGATGCGTTTTCCGCCAAGCAACAATCGCCTTTATTATCGAGCACACGTTTGGGTCTGATCCCTCCCCCCGGATCGGGTTATGCGGGGCCGGAAGAAGAAATAGACGTGATGCCCGATACGTATGAACCCATGATGGAATATCCCGGAACGATGCGTCCCGGTCGCACTCCCGAAAACATGCCCTTTCACGATCTCCCCATCGGTGACGATGATCCAGATCCGGTGCCATGGCCCCACTTTCAACAAATCGAGGTATGTTTGCACTGCGTTGTGTCGTCTGCATATTTTTTAAATCAATTCGATGATTCTTTGTCTAACCCGATCTATATTCTCAAATTTACTTAGTGGCATCACCGATGGGCACCTCCCCATCCTCATCCAACTCCTATGGAGGAATTCATTGAACAGCAAGGCAGATGGTAAGTTCTCGTTTCGGTTAATCCGGAGAAATTGCTTTGGGTTTTGTGGCTCTTTTGTGTTCGAGCATGTGTCTTTCTATTCGTATGCTCATTGGTTCTCGAAACGTACAACATCACAGGGCAACACCGGAGATGGAGGCCGAGATGAGAACAGGAAGCCGCAGAGCCTCGAGGACACGACGAGAAATGGAGGAAGAGCAAAAGAGAGACACTCTTATTATGGACGATGATGAAGACGACGACGACTTTGTCGATGATTTCCCACAAGAATTGGGTGAGGGCATGTTCGGACAGCTCGGATCGACGGACGATGCTAAGATCACCGCGGATGCGGTTTCCCCCGATAGAATGAACGACGACAAAAAGAAATCGAAGGACGACGACGACGACGATGCAGACGATGACGCCGGTCTCGACGATTTCTTGTTGGACCTGGGACTCGACTCGTTGGGCGACGACGATGACGACGACGATGACAAAGCGCAGCCCGCCAAAAAGAAGTCTTCCACGAAATCGATCGGACTGGAAGACGTGATGTTCACGGAAGACGACGACGACGACGAGGAAGAAGAGAACGTGAACCCCGACGTTACGGCTTCGATTGATGTCGACGACGACGACGACGACCTGGAACTCGGATTGGACGATGACGACGACCTGGACGATTCCATGGAGGTTCCACTCGAGGATTTCGGGGACGATGACAACGACATGGACGCCGACAACTTCTTCGATGACGGAGGTTTTGACTATGGTGACGGAGACGGCGGGGGTGATTTTGATGGCGGCTTTGATTAATATCTGTTCGGTCAACTGCAAGAAAGAGGAATATCGAGTACTAATTTGGCGTTACACCAAGATTATCATTACTTCTTCTCTTTCTTGCATTTACTGTACTGGCATGTCATTGTCTAAGCACTTTTTGTTGCGCGACTGATTCCGAAAAGCGATTGCCGAATACAATATAAGCTTCAACTACTCTACTATGTCGTCGCGTTATCGAAAACTTGTGTTTTGCGTGTTTTTTATTGCCTCACACCCCAGAGTACGGTATGGTGCCGTTTAACATTTTCGCTAGTAGTAGTCTGACAGAAAGTTAACGAGTTCTGATGGGATCGTCTTCAAACCGGGCATCAATCGCCGGATCCGGTGCTGGCCAGGAACGCCCGGAATTTTTCAAAGGACCGGCCCCTGTGGCTGATGCTGTTCTTGAATTCCTTCGTCATTTCGGCGTATGTCTTGCCCTCCCCCTCGTCGGGCTCGAAGACGGGATCCCAGCCAAAGTCGGTGGGGCCGCGCGCGGCCACGATCTTACCATTGGTTCTGCCGTCGAAGATGTGGATTTCCTCTCCGGGGCCGGTGGTGTAGGCCACGATGGTTTGGGCGTACGCGGTTCGGTCGTCAAAGCCGTCCAGCATCTTGTTCAGTCCTTCGTGTCCGCAGTCTTCCAGAAACCACTTGATGTAGGGACTGCGTTGCGATGGGCAGAGAATAAAGAAACGGGTCGGTGCGCAAAAACAAAGAACGTGAGGACCGGTGCAAACACGAAAAAAAGAACCATTGTGTCAATTACACAAATAGTCCTTATAGAAAGCAAACGCGAGGGTTTGCGGCATCCTTTCGTACCCGGGTAGCCCGTTGAGGGCGTTGAAGCTCAGGGAGGTGTCCTCCGTGAACACGGCGCCGTTGACCTGCTTGGCGGCCAGGCGGCATTTTTCTCTGGCAATCTCGAAGCGATCGCCCTGGAGTTCCGGAAGGTCGATCTTTTGGTTGGTGAGCTCAAAGGGGGCGGAACCACCGGCGGTCGAGAGGATTTGCTTGGCTTCCTCGAGCTTTTTCTTGTTTCCCGTGACAAATGTGATGACCGGCCTTGCGCTGGAGGCCCGGGGGCGCTTGGGGGGGCGGTGGTCCCCGCCGAGCCGGAGGCACTCCGGCAGCTCGTCGTACCGCGGGTAGGACGGCTGGGCCCCGTCCTTCCGGACGGTCGTGCTGGCCACCCCGCAGGCGTACCCCGCGGCCTCGGAGAGCGACAGGCCGGCGGAGCGGTAGGCGGCCAGCGCCCCGCAAAAGGCGTCGCCCGCACCCACGGTGCTCCTCACGGGGAGCTCCCGCGCCGGGAGGTCCCCGGGGGCGTCGACCGAGGCGGTCCTTATGGCTCCGTCGCCGCCGGTCTTCTCGACCACCATGGCGCCCCGGCTGCCGAGGGTAACGATCACCGCGGTTCCCACGCCCCTGGCGAGGAGGGATTTCGCCAGGCGTTCTTCGTCGCTGTCGTTGTCGCTGTCGCCGGCCCCCGCGACCTTTCGGAGCTCGGATTCGTTCAGGACCAGGAGGTCGGTGTGCTCCAGGAAGGGCATCTCCGGGTCTTCCAGGCTCCAGCCCTCGGGAGCGGGGGCCGTGTTCAGAATGGTCGTTGCCCCGGCCTCCTTCCCCGCCCGGAGGGCCTCGAAGGCCACCGGCGGGGGGATTTCCAGCTGGACCAGCACCTGGGACGGCACGATCCCCGCCACGGCGGCCCGGACGTCCTCCTTCGTCAGCTCGGAGTTGGCCCCGGGCGAGACGACGATCGAGTTGTCCCCCGACGCTTCGTCCACCAGGATGCTCGCCACCCCGGAGGGAATCCCTTGGAGCACGGTGGCTTTTCCCCCGAAAACCTCCACCCCGGCCTCCCGGAAGTTGTCCAGCAGGTTCCGCCCAAAGAGATCGTCGCCTACCCGGCAGAGCATCGCCACGGGTGCCATGCCCAGAGACGCCGCCGCGACCGCCTGGTTCGCGCCCTTGCCGCCGCAGGCGGTCGCAAAGTTCTTCCCCATCACCGTCTCCCCGAGGGCCGGAAAGACATCGGTGGTGCTGGTCAGGTCCTGGTTGGCGCTGCCGACCACCAGGATCGGCTTGTTGTCGTTGGCGTTGCTGTTGCCTTCGCCCGCGGTGCTGGTACTCGTAGTGGTGGACATGGCGACCGTGGTCGATCGGATCGGGGGACGGCTGGGAAAAATGTGCCTGCTCTGCGAGTGCCGGCCGTGTGGATGCGTTGAAAACAAGGGGAGACGACCGAAGGAATGGACGGTCAACGAAGCTCGGAACGAAAACAGGAGAGTCGGGAGAGCTGATTGGACGATCCTCCTTCTCATGGATGCAATGGCGGATGCAAGTTTGGTGGCCCCTGGGACGAGAGCGGAGCAGCCTTGGTCTGTGGTGGTGGTGGTGGTAGTATCGTGCGGTATGTACGGTATGTTGTGCTACCGATGCGAGTTCGAGAAGCTATGGTTGGATTGATAGATGATGTACCGGTACCAGTGGAGCACCAATCAAGTGCTGTAGCACCAGAAGGTAGGTATTTTTTATTTTTTGATGGCGGACGGTGGGAAAATCTTTTTTGGACACGATCTGTCTGTAAGCGTCCATTTGTTTTGACCAGGTCGATTCGAACTGTAAGCGCGAATTCCGGATGTCGATCCATCACATGGATAGTACATAGTACCGTACCATATGATAGGTATGAATAAGAGCATCGTACTCGTACCGGTAGTTGTTGAAAGGAGAGGAGAAATCGTTCGGTCCAATTCTCGCCTGTATTAAACTATCCATCTCCTCTCACCAGTGAAGAGGAAAACCTAGATGTTGCTTTGTGCACAACTATCATCGATTGATTGACAATACTGCAGAATTTGCAGGTAGAAAAACTGCAGATGCAGTGGTCTATGAAACTCGGGTACTACTAGTAGTTTATCATCTATTGAAAAACAAGAGAACAATCACGTACAAGCACGCCAGTTGCACCAACGACGTGACAGTGCTCATCGAAAGACTGAATCTCGCACCGAATCGTATTCGATTGTCGCTCTCCTTACCGTATTCGCAAAGGCCGTCTTCGGTGGTCGCGTGGTCGGCTTGTTCTGCTGCGACTTCTGCGGGGCCTTGGCTCTCGTCGTCTTCGCTTTCTTCCCGTACGCCGGTCTCTCCCCGAAGATCTTGTAGAAGTTCACCAATGTTCGTTGGTTCTTCCGAGCTTCCATCGCTCAAAATACCCTCTTCCAGAAGAAGTCTGTGATCGACGGTGATTATGCTTCCACCGTCCCTCCATCTCTGCTTCCACGCCAAACTGAGCCGCGCGAACTCGACCTCTTCGTCGTGGGTGCTTTGCATTCCTCCGATTTCGTTGGGCGCGGTGAGCATGTGCAACCGGAGGGCGTTGACAATTCCCTGGATCGACCACTTCGGCGTCCAGCTCTCGGGGTGGTAATTGGAGGCAGACAGGCATATATCCCTGCCGGGGACGAAACGGCCGCTCGGGGTCCACATCTGTACGCTCGGTGGCGACATCGGATAGTCTTTCGGCAGCAATATCTGACCGTGGTATATTCCCTTGCTGTAAGCCCCATCCCCGGCGCCACGAAAACTGAAATGCCACTGCCGCAGATTTGTGGTGATCGGACCGAGACACATGATGCTCGGAATCCTCCCGTCCGCGTCGCCGTCCACCGACGGGGCCCTTTTCGTCTTTGACTTTCGTGTGACGAGGCGCTGCTTGGCCCAATCGTACGCAATCCCCATGTCGACCGCGTCCTTGTACTCCCTTTTTATCCGGCGGAGCGAAGTGGAGGTGGTGCTTCCGGAAGAATACGACCGCTTGTCGCTGTTGGAACCACTCGTTTTGCCGTTTGGCCGTTTCTTCTTGGGCTTTGTGACTTTCTTCTTCAGGGCGATCGTTGAATTACCTGGACTATCCTCCACTTGTGTCCGTGTCTCTACGGTTGCGGTAATCTCGACGCTGCCAATAGTTCTGGGCTGTGATGGAACGTGCGGACGATTGTTCTTCGAACTCGCACCGACAACAACAAACACGAAGGCAGCCGACAGAGCAACTACCATCCAGTCGGGTATTATTGTTCTTTTTATCTTCCTCATTGTTTGTCTGCTGCGTTATTTCTTAGAGTGATGGTGCAGTCGGTGTTATGGAGTGTCGTGTTTGGGAGTTACAGTAAACGACGAACTTTATCGTCACAAACTTCATCGTTACATGAAAGAAGTGAATCGATGAAACTTGTTGTCACTGTCGGTTTTGCACATGGCACTGTACCGTACAGTACAGTACGGTACGGGTACTCGTAGGGCAGCAACGTACAGTACTCTCGTACCTGTGCGGCGTACAGAGCGGTTTGAATTCAAAAAAGTCGAGAACTCGATACCGTACCCAAAACACAGTCGTTCGAAAAAGCAGGTCAACAGACAAACGGAAAAATTTAATTTGGGGGAATTTCCCAAAGGATCCACGCCCAGAAAGTTATTTCATTCGAACTCCCAGTCACGAAACCGTTTGAAATTCAAGCGTTCCGGTCAATCTGTCTGTCCGTCAGCCCTCGCCATAAAAATAGATCATGCCTTTTTGAATCGTTTTGTTCTAGTATTCTCAAATCTCAAAACTTCAAAACGGATGATGGGTGTTGACGTTCCGCGGTGTATGGCGTTCGTTGTTGATCGACAAAGTAGGATAGCAAGTTCAGGAACACATTCTCAACCGTTACTACATCGAAAGCCCTCCTGTGGCGGCAGGACAAAAGAGTACCAGAAGCCTGATTAGCAACTTTGAACGAAGGCCATAAACACAGCCTGCAATAGCTTGCACCAATCTACACACGAGATACCATATCCATAGAAAGCTGGTGGAATCTATATACCGAAGTCTATAATACCAGGTGTGAAATGGGGAACCTGGAACTGTGTGCTCTACACCACCATCGCAAGAAACGGTCGCCTCCGGCGATGACAAGATCCATCGGCCGCTTCATCACATTTTGCTGCATCATGATTGCTGTGGTCCTTCCAATGCAGTCGACTAGACGAAGGTTGTTTTCCAACGCCTTGCTATCAGGATCCAACGCATTTACCAGGAAACCCAGTCACTCGACAATTTCCAAATATCTCCTTTCGATCCCGTCGTCACACGAACGGTTTCCTCTGTCTCGTTCGATTCATTTTTCGGTAACAGATATCGGTCGCCGGCGTTCCTATACAACTCAAGAACAGGACGTACATTCTACAACTTCGCTGTCAGCTGCAAAGACCAACTTCAATACCTTTTCTCTGGTAGTCCAAGGGCCCCCCACCTTTTCCTTTCCCAAAAAGAATAAAAAGTCGCAACGGCCATTCAAGTTAGTCGTTGTTGAATCGCCTTCCAAGTGCCAAACGATCTCGAAAATCCTTCAAAAGTATGTCAAAGACAACGATCTAGCGTACGATTTTGTGCTCACGTCGTCGATGGGACACATTCGAAACATCCCCCAAAAGAAATCTTTCAAGGGTCAAAAGATTGCGGGCATCGATCTGGAGAACAATTATAGTCCAACCTACGAAGTTATTGAAGGGAAGGAAGACATGCTTTCGAAACTTCAGGAGCTAAGCGCTGCGGCCCAGCAACTGATCCTAGCCACCGATGACGACCGCGAAGGAGAGGCAATGGCCTGGCATTTACTTCAGGTCTTAGAAGGAGAGGGCAATCCCTTTATCAACACAAGTGACGCCAAAGGCAAAGTAGCAGAGGACAAACAGCATCCTCTCAGGGTCCGATTTACAGAAATTACCAAAAAGGCGATCGTCGAAGCTATCGAAAACCCGGAGACATCCCTTCGCGATAATCTAGTCGAGGCGCAACAGGCTCGACGCATTCTCGATCGGTTGGCTGGATTTACCGTGTCTCCCGTTTTGTGGAAAAAAATTGTAAGTTCGTTCGATGAGAGGGAAAGCTGAGCTCAACTTATTTGAAAGTACATCAGAAAAACGAAATTGGAGCAGGATCTTATTTTCTCGTCTGCCTTCATTTTTGTTCTGAAATCAAACATTTGTCTCGAATTAGGCTCCCGGGTTGTCCGCTGGAAGAGTGCAATCGGTAGGCATGGCGATGACGGTACAGCGTGAAAGAGAGCGCCTGACGTTTCAAAGGACAGAATATTGGGGCGTCAAGGCTAATTTCAGTGCCTTTGACGATGATGATGCTGGTCAGTTGTTTGAAACAAATTTGATCTCAATAAATGGACAAGTACTAGCATCAGGGACCTCAGATTTTGACCCCAAACAATCCGATCAGCTTACACCATCCGCTAAAAATAAGCTACACCTGACGGAACAATCAGCAGCTGAGTTCACCAATCTTATTCAGACAAAAGGAGACCAATGGTCTTGGAAGATCGACAAAATCACCTCCAAAGAACGCAAACAAAAAGCACCAGTGCCATTTATTACGTCGAGCTTACAACAAGAAGCCAACCGTCGATTGGGGTTGTCAGTAAGTGGAAGCATGCGGTCGGCGCAGCAACTCTATGAAAAAGGTTTTATTAGTTACATGCGAACAGATTCGACCCACCTCTCGGAAGATGCCCAAAATGCTATCCGAGAGGAAATAATAAAGGACCTTGGAGGTCCTGATAATTACGTTGCCGCTACTGAAAACAGCGGGAAAATCTCGTCAAAATCATCCAAAAATAAAAAGCCTGATCCACAAGCKGCCCACGAAGCTATTCGACCTGCAGTGGGAGAAAATGGGCGGTTTTTGAAACCGGAACTTCTACCGTTGGATTTTGATAAAGCAGCAGTGGAAGTTTATAGGTTGATTTATCAAAGAACGGTTGCCTCTCACATGACACCCCAAATTTCGAACCAAACGTCGATTTCGATCACGGGGTTATCCGGTGACGAAGATGAGACTGAGGTTCTCTTTCGTACAAGTGGAAGCGTAGTAGTTGACCCAGGTTACACGAGGGTTTATCCTCGCCAGGCAGACTCAAAAGCTCCAATTTTACCTCCCTTTGAGGAAGGACAAAGTCTCTCTTGTGACAGCGTTAGAGGTTTATCTCATACGACACAACCGCCAGCGAGATATACGGAGGCTTCATTCATACAAGAGTTAGAAGCACAGGGTGTTGGTCGTCCAAGTACGTATGCTGGTACTGTAAAAAGTCTTAGAGATCGATGCTATATTGGGTCTCCAATAAATAGTGACGCGAATCGCAGAGGTGGAGTTAAAGAGGTCTCTGGACCCGCTATCAGTGCACAGAGGGCTGCAGGAGGTGAAGATTTTACCGGGTCTAAAAACGGACGAGGGCCATTGGTCCCTTCATTGAGTGCATTTGTTGTAACTTCGTTGCTAGAGAAACATTGCGAGATGTATGTCGATCCAACTTTTACGGCGAAAATGGAAGAAAGACTGGACAGGATTGCAAATTCTGAAGTTGAAGTCAGCGAAAATGAGCGTGTGTCATACCTGAGTGAATTCTATGAAGGAGAAGAAGGACTTGCCAGCAAAATTGAATACATTGATAACAACGTTGATGCAGACATCGCACGACGTGCTGACTTACCTGCCTTGGCCTGGAATTCTACTCAGAACTCAGAAGACATCGGCCTTTTTATTGGTCCATGGGGTCCATATGTTATGAAAACTTCTGCATCAAAGGCTGATGACGACGAGGAAAAAGTGGTCAAGGCAAGTTTACCCCCAGGAATGGCGTCCGATATTTCAACCATAACATTGGAAGGCCTTGATGCCGTATTGAAAACCAAAGAGCAAGATGGCTTGATCTTAGGTCAACATCCAGAGGATGGTAGAAATATTCGTTTAAAAGTAGGCCCATATGGGGGCTATCTTCAGTGGGGAGAAGATGGTGATGACGAGAAAAGTACACATACACTTCCCCGTGAATATCGAAGTTTCAAAAAGCCAGACCTTGAAGATATGGATGGAGAAAGTGGAGATACTCTAGCTGATATGATTGGACTCAGCTTGGAGAAAGCAATTCAGTATGTCAATTTACCAAGAACAGTTTGTTTGATGAACGATTTGCCTATCGTTGCATCAATCGGCCCTTATGGACCATACTTGAAGTACAACAACACATTCATGCAATTAAAACCAAAAGATGGTGATGTAATTACTATCGATGGAGACTTAGCACAAGTGCTAGTAACTGACGGAATAATCAACAAGAAATCCAAATTTGGTGCAGGAGTTCTCGCTGAAATTGGAGAGAAAGATGAAGCAATGATAACTGTAAAGCGAGGCCGTTTCGGTGCATACATCAATTGGAATCAAGTTAATGCTAAATTACCGTCTGAATACATTGACGATCCGTCGGAGCTATCGCTCGAGGAGGCATGGACGCTCATTCAACAGAAAGCTGCATCAAGTCCCGGAAAGAGGACAAAGAAGAAAACAACCGACATCGAAATTCCACCGGGGCCGAAGAGACCCCCGTCTTCCTATTTTCTTTTTACTGCAGAAAAGCGCCCGGAAGTGTCGGCTGCATTTTCTTCATTGGGTGAGGTCTCTAAGGAATTGGGTAGGCTATGGAGTTCTCTTTCCGACGATGAGAAAAAACCTTATGTCGAGAAGGCAGCGATTGCAAAAGCAGCATATGACGTAGAAAAGGCACAGTGGCAAAAAGAAACAAAGCAACTGAGGAGGTCGAAAAAAGGTAACACCGCAGCTAGGGGCTCGTCGATGAATGGTCCAAAACGCCCGCGTTCGGCGTACATATTCTTCTGCAAAAAGAACCGAGATGAGGTATCAAAGGACTTTAAGAAACTGGGAGATATTTCAAAAGAGCTTGGTAGGCGTTGGAATGATATTGATGCTGCTGCGAAGGCTGAATATGTAAAAATGGCCGAGGACGACAAACACCGCTATACTATGGAAATGGAAGAAGGAGTTGGATCCTCGGGAACGAAGACGAAAGGCGTGTCAAAAACGAAGAAAAGGAAAGTGAAGGTCACGAAGAAAACGAGCAAAACAGGGAAACAAAAACGGTCTCCATCCGCATACATGTTATTTTGTGCCTCGCATCGAAGTCAAATTGTTGACGAAAATGGTCAAAAACTAAAGCTTCCCGAAACAACCAAGATTCTGGCACAGATGTGGAGGGAGTGCGACGACGAAACAAGAGCACGATTTGTGCAAGAGGCCGAGAACCAAAAAGCGGTGCTACATTAGAAACTAGTTTAGGCCACAAGAAGCATTGTTCTTTAGATCCTCGCCTCTCTGCTTGTCATAGAGTTCTGCAGTCTGTAACAAGAAAATCTGGCTTGAGGGACAAGCAGGGGGGTCCAAATTTTAAAAATCTATCAAAGTTTCTTAGTCTCTCAGTAATACAAAATGTAGAATAGTGGAATGACCCAATACTTGTGGGAAGGGCTGTTAGTACTAGTAGCAATATAATAATAATAATATGAAGGAACAAAAATATTAGCACAATACTAGTAGATTTGTTCATTTTTTGTTGGGAATCCAGTTTTCGTACGTACTTGATTAGTGGCTTGTTCTCGCCCTCGGTGTAGCCACCATAGCAGTTGCGTACGCTACCTCTACCGTACCGGCCGGTACTTTTACTCCGTAAGGATTAAGGATACAACATTACGCTGAACTTGTATGTACGAGTACCAGTACCTACCGTACGTATTGCAAACTTCACTCAAGAAGCGTAGAGATTGAATTGCAGTATCTTTTTCTCAGAATCGGAAGAACGTGTCACAAATTTGAATCGATGGATGTTCATCTAGAGCACAAACCTTTTTGAATTTCTAAATCCTTTTCCGGTGTGCCACTTACTCTTGGCTCTGGTTGCATTCAGAAGCACAAGTACCGTATGGCCGAAGGAGAAAAGAATTTTCTTAACAGCCGACGGAGGAGGCGATGAATTTCAATGTGCACTGTATGTATCCTTTCTTAGCGGCGCTCTTTTTCGCTCCGCCATGTCCTTGCTATGGTTTTGCTTCACATCATGCCCTCGTCAATTTGCAGCAATCGCAGAAAACTTTAAGCATCTTTGAAAAGAATGGTGGTTTCTCGCCGACTTGGAAAAGAAGGAAAAGATCCGACAAAACTAAAGTAGCACTTTTGGGCGGAACGAGTATTGCAACATCGAACGGCGATCCTACTTTTGGTGGACTGGCAACAGGCATCCTATTCATAATTCTTTGCACTGCTGTGGGCACCTTTGTTTTTGCAAATCAAGTGTATACACCTGAAATTATTGAAGGAGCTCAGATGATTCGAAAGTCGAATAGAGAAAACGAAATACGAAAATTGCTTGAGGCTGTTCGCAGTCACCAGGAAGACGGGAAGGAATTAATTGAATTGAGGCTGCCTTTGGAAACCGCATTGGGATCTACTTTGGAGGAGTACGTCGCAGCTGTTGAAGGGTCTGAACAAAAGTCTGACACAATCTTCACCATGGCAGATAAAGATTTGGTAAAGATTTTGAAACAAAACGTTTGAGGATGATGAGACGAGAGCCACAACATCCGCAGATCCCAACGTCCAGAATGCAAATCATCTTCCAATCACTTGTACCATGGGCTGTTACTGTACTTAAGCTTTTTGTCTCCAATCTTTAGGAAGAATTTAGTATCGTAAAAGATTGCAAATAGTGGTAGTGGCTTGATAAAAGTCAAAAGTCATTGTAAAAATCAATTCAATTACCACCAGTATAGGCTTTATTGAACAGTTTGATAACAAGGAGGAGATGCCAAGTCCCTTCCGCCAGAACCATACTGCTAAAAGTAGTGCTGGCAGTGAGAGAAGGGAAAGAGACTGATTGGAAAACTTTGGATATGAGGACAATATAGGACAATATTCCCCTCCCTGAAGGAGTGATGCCACCAACGAAAATATATTGAGGAAGCTCAGCAAGGAAGTTGGGAAAAAATTGAGAGAAAGCCTTGGGCAGAGAGATGCACTCTGCAGACATACTTAGACTACTGAATGTTACTGGGGGAAAATCAATCAATCTACTTGTAGCTGCTTGTGGTGACTATTTCCTAAATATAGTACTTACTTAGATTACAGTCATTAGTAGTAGTAGCAGTAGTACATATAAGTTGTTGTAAGAAAATCTGATCATGAAATTACTTTCTAGTTGAGACTTATTTTATTTTGATGGTTTGAATTCTCAGAAATTGAGTACATTGAGGTTGTGACATTGGAAATTGCTCCAATGACTCGGTTCTTTACTTGCATTCTTGTGTGCTGCTGGGCTATTGTTGCTGCTGTTTGTCTAGGGCCACCATAGGCAAGACTCAGACCTTGACCATAGTTTTCCTCTCAATTTTACCAATGAATTTTGCTGATGTTGGGCTGTGACTACTAGTACTTGTAGTACAAAAATTTAGTATTGATGCAAGGAGGAAGAGTTGTTAAATGAAACCACAAAGTTGCGCAAGAAGCTAATCCTTATTCTTTATTCAAATTTTCTGAGAATGGACCTCAATGATTCTTACTACTAGTAGCATGTTATTCTCCTAGCATCCTCTCTATTGTCACTACTTACCAGTTTTCAATTTTAAAACAGAAATCGAAGTAGAAGAACAGCCAAATACTTTGGCTGGAGGACTGTGGTGCTTTATTTGTCAATGAGTATGCTAAATTTTTGGGAAGTCCACTAGTTGCTTACTAATAATTGCATGTCCTCTGTAATTGGATAACTAAACAATAAATCAATATACTGGGCACCATGCACAGTGTGGTGCTGGTACCTATTAGTACTAACAGCCAGCTACTAGTAAGTATTAGAGAGTTACCAACTCACTCTAGAACAGTAAAGTTTCAAGAAACAGCTGAAAATGCTGCTAGTAGAATTCTTAATAACCCTAAGATATTTTGTTATAGTGAAATGCAATATGCCACCAGAGACAGACAAGAATTTTAATAACATCTTCCATAAGATACTCATGCTACTTCTTCTACACATCATGTATTATGCTGCAAAATACAAGAAGAAGAAGAAGCAGTCAAGGCCAGAGCAACCACCACAAACACCACCACCAGTAGTTGGTCAAGGAAGACCACTTCTTGTCCTGAGTGTGATAAACAAAGTACACTCAGACAAGAAGCAGACCACTGCACCAAGGACAATCTCAACATCCAAAATTTTGATTATTCTTGAGGTCTTGAATTTTGCATTGCATATTTCATATTGGATGGTTCTTCTGGGATCCTACTACTACTAGGCATCCACTACTGAAGAAAGTTACTTGTAATGTATTGGGTATCATGATATTGTACAATGATCAGTGGTACTAGGTTATATATCTATATTGTACAATCACCTCACCACCTCTCTTGTATATAGGGGGGAGGAAGAACAGCCTGAATATTGAACCTACATGGTGATTACACCATCATTACCATGATGTAGTACTAACATGTGGACTTTTGACTGCATCTCCAAATACAACTACAAGAAGGTCTTACTGAACTGATGATTACTAACTACTATCAGAAACTGAATGCAGCAGAAGAAGTGCAAGGTGGTGATAAAATTAGGATTTTTGTCTACAGATTATTTCTAACAACACAAAGTTGATACCTGGTACTAGTAGTAGGAGGAGTGTACAAGATGACAAAAAATAGTAGTAGTGTTGCCCCAAAAAGTAGTACTACTACTACTCAACAAGTATGATAAGGTGAAGAATGAACTGGTATATTACAATAACAGGAGATCTCCAATCATGTCCAAATTCTTGCTCCTGAGGAGGAAGAATTGGAACCTCATTGATGCTCTAGTCTTAGCTACTATTATGTCACAAAAAGTGCTTGAAACCCTTAGTTTCCTCCCAATGTGACCCTTTTCTTAAGATAGGAAGCACCTTGTTTTAATTTTTCTCATGCCCATGTCGCCTAGTAGCATTTATTCCACAGCAGAACCCCAAATGTGTACTAGTAGAAGCAATCATTGTTTTTGGGACATTTTACTGGATGCAGCTTGTTGCTGGGAGGATCATCATGGTTCAAACAAGAAGGCAGACGACTGCTTTTGCCCCGCCATGCTCTTCTTATTCCTCTCTGCAGCATCATGCCAACTCCAATGAGTTTCAACTTTCTGATGGCTAGAAGTACTATTACTCTTGCTTGGAACTTCTTGTTGCCCAGTGCCACTGACTACTACGACTACTAAGCCCATCCTTTTTTGTATTGTACTATTCCTACAGGCACAGGTACCACCAGTTGTTACTTTTTGTTGTTGTTTCTACCAGCATCTTCTTAACACAAAGTAACAAACAACAAGGTGGTTGCGGAAAAAACATTTCTAATGATCTTTGCTTGTCATCTTTTCTCATTTATTCACCAGAATACCATCCAAAAACTTAGCATCAAGAAACCAGTCACCACACATGCATCCTACACTATTTGTTTTTGTGAAAAAATTCAACCTCAAAGTACTACTGCTAGTAGTAGAACTAGTACAACTACTAGTAGATTGTATGCTTCTGTTGGTGCTGGTGGTGGAAATCAATTACTTTCTTCCCCTCCTACCACTACTAGTAGTAGCAGTACAGCTCTCTAGTACGTGCTATGCTACTATATTTTTGGACCTGCTGCAGAAATGATTGAATGGTGGGATTCATGGTTGACCTCATCACTAGTTTTTAATTTTGAGAATTGAAGGTTGGGCTATTACCACCTGTACAAGGAACAAAGGCAAATGAGGTTGCAAGACAGGTCTGGGATTGGTACAAATCTTACAAAGATACAGAGAGAAGAACAATACACCAACCTGTGTTAAAAATTTAAATAACTAGAAGTATTTCATATTGAAATATTAGCAACTACTACTAATAATAATTTGTACAAAAGAAATTTCTGAAGATACAACATATCATGATGTTGTTGATACTAGTACAGAGGACTCTTTTGAAAAAGCCTCTTGGCCAATTGATTTGAGACTTTCAGATCCCCTTATTATTATTGTTATTCTTGTCAAGTTATTCTGTTGTTGATACCGTAGGATGTCAGATTGTGGGTATGATTCACATATACGAAACATACATATGACACATATCTATGATTCATACACACTCTACATATCATATGATTCACTCAATCCTATGGATTCATATGATTGACATGACTCCTCAGTTGATTCACTTCTTGCATGACTGGTGACTTGACTCATTCAATTCACACATCACTCAATCTTCATTCTGATTGGTCTTAGATTTCATAGTTTGTCAATCCTTGATAAGAGCATTGACTCACTTTTCTTCTAGCGCACAATTTACATCACCACTATTAGTAGATAGTCACTCCCATAGGCTATGAGGGAGGGAAGTGTTGCTAAAAGATCTGTCGGGTGGGTGACACCAACCTTGAGTTGCTTTTTTTTAACTACTAAAAACTGCATGTTTTTATTGTACTCATAACAGATTCCAGATTTGTGTCACAATTTTGCCTTTGTTCCTCATACTGCTACTAGTACTAGTATTGATTCATTCCTGGTGCTGCATGCATTGAAATGTGTCTTTTTTACCAACCCACTTGTTGTTTTACTATGTATCTCAAATGTAATGTGCAGATTCTGGTTGTTGTTGGCCCAGCACAACAACCACCAGAATCTATAGTTGAGATACATATTTATTGGAATTCCTGAGGACGACTAAACATTTCCAGTCTCCTTGTGAGGAGGAGCCACCAGCAGCCAGCCACCACGACCCCTGGTGACGAAAAGAGGACAGCAGTGGTCGTGACTCAGATTCAATACTAAGAACAAACTGAACACTTACTAATTATGATGATGATGCAGGGGGAATGAACCAGCATTACTACTACTACTACTACTACTACTACTACTACTACTACTACTACTACTACTACTACTACTACTACTACTACTACTTATAGTGTGAGGATAACACTGGATTACGAGTAGCTTCTAGTGAATAACCTCACTCTTTATTGTAGTAAAGAGTCTGTTATCATTCCACAGGTTATGAGCAACAAATGTCTTCCCTTGTTTCACACCTTCATCACAGACGGTTTCTTCTTATTCTCGTTCTCCTTTTGCCGTACGGTAGTATTGATGCACGACTGAAAACCGTGTCTTGATCAAACATACTTGATCCAAACATACCGTACGGTACCGTACTTGGTACGTACTTGTACAGTCGTCATCATCGGTTCTCGCGTTTTATCATCCTATCATCCATCATCACAAATCATCTTCGTAATTCTTTTTCTCATCCATTACTTTCTATGGAGCATCATCGTCAGTACATCATTACTTCGTAGTCACGAAATTCATTCCTTTCCATCAGCTCTGGATGAAAATGCGTACATCGGTACTGCCAGTTACCGTGCTTGTCATTGCACAGATTATCACAGGGTCTAACTCGCTCTCACGCCATGGCACCTTGAAGATGCCTCCCGTAGACACGGCTAGCCGTACGGTACCCCTCAGTCCAAAACGCCACACATCCGACTTTTCGGCGAGAAAGAATCACCCAACAGCTTACGAATCAAGCCCTAGCTTCAAAGGGCCACTCGTGCTCCCCAGCACACTCTCCACTTCTGACCACCGAATTCGAATGAAAAACTTCTACCTAGATAACGACAATCTACAACAGCAAGGTGAATGTGCACTGCCTCTAAAACCGACGGCGAACACAGATTTGATATTGAAGACCATTATGGATCACTTTGCCTTTCATGATGCGCCAGTAGATGTAAAGGAGATGGCCGAAAGCATGGAATTTTATCTCAGAACCCGTAAGCGACTCATGGGCATGGCGAAGAAACGCATCATGAAGAACGCAAGGTCTGGGAATGGAGACGAAGATTCAATATGCACGAAGTGTGAGGTGAACGAGAAGATTGTACAAGTGTTTGACATGTGTTCGGGGCATGGTCTTACAGGGATGTTATTTGCCGCATGCAATCCACCCAAAGCAACTCAAAACAATCGAACGCTGGTAGTAGAAACCCATCTAGTTGACGTGGTGGAACCGCTCTCCCATGTCGTATTAAGGGAATTAATTGCAGACGTTTGTCCCTGGATCAAGGACAACGTTTATTTCCATGCTTGCCGATTGGAGGAATTGATCACGACAAATGATAGATCGACCGACGTTTCCATCGAGTGCAGCAACGAGAACGATTCCGATACAGCTGTAGTTGCAGGTTCTTGTCCGATTGTGATTGCCACCCATGCCTGCGGAAAATTGACGGATCAGGTGTTGCATCAAGCTGTCGACATGAATGCGTGTGCCATTGCAGCTATGCCATGTTGCTATACTGGGACGGACAAGGGAGTTTCATACGGTATTAGGAGGGCTTTGGGTGTCGCCTGGGCGGCAGATATAAGAAGAACCCAGTTTCTGGATGACAACAAGTATCATGTTGATTACGCAACAATCCCCCTTGAAATTACGCCCTTAAATCGTATCATTATGGCCGAAGAGAGACTTTGATAAGTCTGGATTAATTAATCATCTGAACACACTCCAAGACTTTGATTAAGTGCAGCAAAGACTTCGATTTATCACCAAACAGAATTGTTCGTTTGTTCCTGGTGTCTACCCTAGTTTCAACGCTAGAGGGTTCAATCCGAGAAGGAACTTAGCTCTCTATTGAGTATATTGAACGCTCTTCGTAAGAGGCTGTAAGCTCTCTGACCTCACAGTGTGTAACGTCCTCATGATCATCTCACTCAACGATCGGCACGATTAAACACAGCTCAAGCCATGCGGAACCGTTGGGGGAGCAAGGAATTCAAAAATCTTCTGCTAAACCCATGCACGAAGTGCAATAGGAGAAATAGGGGCTCTAGACCTTGCGATCCTCAAGAACGGAAACGGAGAATTGAAATTTTCCCTCAGCGCAGGCGGCAATCGAAGCAACAACAGCGACGAAGGATATACAAGAATAGTGAATATCTGAAAACAGGAATCTAGAGGATTGTAACGAAAAGAATATTAAGACCACCAGCAAATACCATTGATCGAAAGATTAAGAAGTAGAGTCAGAATTGAAGTCAGTGCTGGGTAGGTACATGTCAATCAAGACCAATCATCTCTCTTTCAGTAAAGCACAATACAACGCAACGCAACACAATGCGACACAACTCAATTTCAATTTCAATTCATGAAGGGACGACAATGCAGTATGCTGTTTATATTTTAAGTTTATTGTTGTTGTTGCGGTCATTGTCATTATCTAGTACAGTTCTTAGTCCTCGCATAGGCGTGGTAGATCGAAATACTTGGGGACAATTGCCACGATGCCCTCTTCACCAATCGAATCCATACATGGACACTTCCTGGAACAGAAACAAGTCCCGTCGGTGTACTCGGCAAATTTTCGGTTGTATTCCTTCTGGCATCGAGCCCAGCAGTCCTCCGGGGTATTAACGGATTACTTGGTTTTCTTGTCGGACTGGTGGGAACAGTAGCCCCTGCCGGTGTATACAACGAAATTATTATCTTTGTTGCTTTCGCAAGCCGAACAGACCTTCGGACAAAAGCCACATGATTCTGGACACCACTCGCGAACTCTCCTCTTCCTAAATTTTTTCTTGCACTTTTTTTTTCTTGCGGCCCGTGCACAATCAAACTTCTTCCTATCCCGAAACCGGAATGCCGGATCGTCGAGGCATGATGGATCGGTGGCAGGTTTTGGTGTGGGGGCCATAACGGGAGAAACTGTAGGTTCCACCTCGGGGGGATTGTCGTTGTGGTTACAGGAACACGACCCATCCGAAGGAAGATCCCGAGGGGCACAAACAATGGGGATGTGACCTGTAGTACTAGTAACCATTTTGAAAGAACAAGAATCGCAGCTCTCGATCCCAGAAGAGGCCCAGGAGACAGCACATGGGTTGCGGAACCGGCCAGCCAAACCTGATCGGCTACCTCCCCTTCGGATCCCCTCATCACAGCTCGGTTGCTTAGCCTCCCCTGCGGTAGCGATCCGCGCTGCAAAGTCCAAGACTGCGGACATGCCCAGTGCCTCAATAGCGTCCACAACGAAATTAGCAGCATCACCATCTACCTCTGGAAAGAAGGTCCCTGGTTTGTTTCCTCGCTCGAGCAGAGCGTCCTTCCTGAACGGAACGTTTTTACCCGCTTCCGAAATATCGCTGAGGGACGAAAACGAATCGGTCGGCCATACAACTCTGTGGGCATAGACACGATCCGATCGCGGCATTACAGACGACTGTCTGGTTCCAGGCGGCCACTGGACACGATCTATCGGAAGCACAACGGGGAGTGAATGCATTCGAAGGGTTGGCGTTGTACTGCGACAATTCCGGGAAGACTTCAGTCCATGGGCTTTGGTCGTACTTGTATTTGCGCATCAAGGAATAGAATTCGTCGTTTTGGCAGATCCCGGTGTGGCCGCACTGTTTGGAATCTGCCCAAAGGGTCCCCCCACATGTTTGCTCGTATAAAGCTGCTGCACCCCTGTATTTCCCAATATCATTAGTTGCGTCCGAGTCCCCGGGACCGAGAAAGGTGTTGTCGTATGCGATGGCATCAGCACCTCCATTTATGAGGATCGCCAACCAGTGGATCAGAGCGTATCTGCTGCTGGGAGGTTTGCTTTGCAAGAGCTTGTCCTTGATAATGACGTTGCCATGAATCGTCATGGCACCAGCACTATCGTCCATGTATATATCGGCTTGGTAGCAACTCGTTTCAGCTTTGCAGGGCTCGTTTGAAACGCTGTTCCGAAAGAAGACCTTGTAGCTGACCTCAGTGCCTCGTTCCATGGGACTGGTGGCGATTTCAACAAATCGAATATATTCGACATTTGAAGATCATATATAGAGTGGTCATCGCCAACAGTGCATCCTCAAGAACATGAAGCAACCGCTAGTAGACTATTCGTGCTGTGCTTACCTAGATGCTACCCAATGAATCGCTCCATCGTCGTAACTGCCATCCGAAACATAGCTTCAAACGTTGTGTCGAATGTGCGTGCCACCACCAACAAGATCGATGGCAGCCATGTTGCTAGATCGGAAATGGTTGTTGGAAATGATCGTTCCATAACCTCCCAATGCAACACCTCATGTCGACGCAAAATCGGAAAGCAAGCTATTCACAATAACGTTTCCAGTCGGCAACAACGCAAAGACATGACTGTCGGTTTCGAAATCTCTATTATCACTCACTCGGATCGAACTTCCTCCTGTGCACTCTACGACGCAGTTTTGGAACACAACATTTTGGCCCCATACTTCTACCCCGTCGAAACCGGCATTGATAAACCTGCAATTGATGAACTCTATCTCGTTTCCGTATACTTCGTGAGTGAAAGTCTTTTTGAGACAGAGGTCGATGATGACATGTTTGTTACCGTTGAAAACGTGCAGTTCGAAGCCTCCAAAAACGCTTGGAGGCTTCGAACTGCACGTTTTCAACGGTAACAAACATGTCATCATCGACCTCTGTCTCAAAAAGACTTTCACTCGCGAGCGAAAGGATCGCATCAAAATCGGCATCCTTGATATCCGAAGGGGGATAAAGCAACGTCCAGCCTTCGCTTTCAGGGATTATCTCACCGAGACTCACAAAATATTCGCCTTCTGAATCCAAATACTCAACCGCGCCCTCGAGGTAATACCTTGCCTCGGGAAGAATTTTGAATTTATTTCCTCCTTCAGGATCGCCGGCATCTTTTTGGTTTGTGTTCGATGCGAAGCTAGTTGTAGATCGCTTTCCTACTGGAACACGTGCATCAAACCAATCTACCTGGGGAAAAATGTAAATTGTAACAGAACCGGAGTTCCAGCTTGCATCAGACGCCTTGAAAATCGAGGACTTGTCGGAATCCTTGAAAAATGTGATCCCGTTATCGCTGCGTCATTTCGTCCTCAACCACGTGTCCAGGACTTCACCCATGTTTTCCTCGTCCTCGAGATCGGCCGTGCTTGGTGGAAGGTTCGGTTCTCTCGCGCGAGTAAGAACTCTATTGCCATTGATAATTGGAGGGGAGACATAATTGTCTGTGTCTCGACAGTCACCATCTGTCCATCTGTTGAGTTTGGCCAGGGATGGAAATCCTTTGGGAGGTGGAGCTGCCAATAGTTTGTCGATATCGACACCAATCGATTCTGCTAATTTCTTTCCAGGGCTATCATAATCTAGGTTACTGACTATGATTCATGCGTGTGTGTGTTTGTGTGAAGACAGAGTCAGTAGGCAAGCGAAAGATAAATGCATTACTGTATCATCGCTTCTACATCACCGATCGGAAGATTGAGAGAAAACGAGATAAACTTTTTCGAGACGCACCGGGCATAAATTGAAGCGGCATTCCTCCCAATATTCTCGCCGTACCTCCGTCGCCGTGTCCTCCACGGAAAACGACCCGACTGTTTTTGCTGGTCCCTCTATGTTTTTTATTGAGAACAAGCCTTTCGCCCATCTCGAAGGTTCCGTTCAATTTAACAATCAAGTTTTGTTTCTGAGTACGCTCGAACGATGCAACCAATTGCAATGCTCGCGCCAAGGTCTTCACGGCTTGTGACGGAGTCGAACCATTCGAAGAATCGTCTCCGCTTTCGGAATTAACATATATTTCAGCATCTTGTTGTCTCGAAGTAGGCAAAATCGGGTGAAGTTTCCTAAGCTCAGAGCCTTCTAGATCTAATTGACCTTCTGCTTTCTTTCCCCGCTGAAGCTGTCGTTGATTCTTTTCTCTTCGCAAGCTGCGTTTACTTAGTCGGCTCGAACGGTATTTTCGTTGATAAAAGCTGCGTTGGTGTTGCCGATGTCCATTGCCAATTTTGGCACTGATATCAGTTGATGTATCTGAATCCGAAAAGGTCCAGAGATTGATATAATGCGCTCCAGTTGCCGGTAATTGCAAAATATACCATGGTGCAGTCATCGATAGCAGCGAGAGCAGTATGGTGATATCATAGGGCGATCTCATCTTTTTCAAAATCTATTTCAACAGTAGCTATATCTGTTATTGATTTGCCGGTCGTCAATAGAGCTATCAAGGTACCGATTTTCATTATCATGTTTCATGTTGATGGTCACGTGGTGATGAAATGAGGATCACTGTTCACTTGAAATCTCTTTTAGGGATCAAGTCAATTAATTTAATGTCGAAGGTGTCAATCGAAAAGATCCAGCTCGAGAAAAGTGGCAGAGATTTTGTTCGTAGTACTTGGTACCATACTCTACGGAACGTAGTTGTAATTCCTCAGATCATTCCAACCAAGGGTTCATGAGGATCAAAAACTTGTGAACCAAAAATCACGGTGCGCCTGCGCGCCATTTCTGTCTTGTTCAAAAACTTTCTTCATCGTTTCCTTTCAGAACTTTCGAACGTTTTAGAGGGAACTGAAACAACAATAATAGCAAGTGAGATCGTAGATGTCTTCATCGGAAAAGGATACCAAGGAAGCTAGGGAATTTGCGTCTGCGGTTCTCACTGGCACTGTCATTGGAAGGACCCTACAGGATGCGCTGCGGTCACTAAGTGAGGAGGATTCCGACGATCACGCGACTGATGAATACGCTACAAAATCCGATGGGACACAAGCCCGCGCAGATGGAATCGACGAAGATACAGAAGATGGCGGCGATGGGGATGGAGTTCAGGATGAGAAGTGTGCTGTTCGCATGGATAGTCAGAGTATGAATCGAATACTGAAATCCTTTCAGGAAGCAGTTGTGGAAAGTCGACTATGCCACAAACCCGACAATGGCAAGGCCCCTCGAGGTTTGTTAAAGGGCCGGTGCGACTACTTTAATAGGTATGGACAAAACTGGATGGTGTTGATGGATGAAGTGCAAATCAAAGCGAGACCCCAGAAATTTACGAAGCGGAGAAGAGACGACAGACCTTCATTATGGGATCGTGACGATGATAAGACAGCAAAAACAACCAAAAAAGAAATCGTTGTAAAAGAAAAGATGCAACTCCTTGCCTATGGCGATATATCGTAGCGCTTCTCAGTTTGCGTGCAAATTGCAAGGTTCGGCATAAAAATCTAGTCATCATGATAGTTATCACATAATTCAGTTGCTATCACTTGATTGCATCTTAACGCAATCTTTATGCATAACGTATCGCACAATTTTGATTATTTTTTGAACACATGTCACTATTGACGTGTCTTGTGCCAAATTGACTTCCATTCCATGATGTTTGTTCCTATCTAGTAGAAATAGTACTTCACATGGATTTGTTTGAGGCCAACTAGAAACTCATTGCAAACCAGCATAGATTTCAAGACTGATGCAAAACTATCGGTTTTTGTTCTTTTTTGTTTTGCGTGAAAGAATTTTACCAATTTTTCATCAGATTTTGATATATAAATACTGAAAATTTATTTTTTTGGTTTTTCGCGCTAATAATATTTTCCTAAATTTTGAAGATCGACTAATCGACTAAACGGCTCCTCACGTGTGCTGTGTTGCTTGTGCCAACATTGAATCAATAATCGGAATCTCAGTCATGGTCGATGCTGAATTAGAAACCAGCACCAATTGTTTAACGTTTAACGTTCAGATTTCGGAAGACGAAAAAGAAACAAGAAAAGACTGTCCCCATTATCTAATGCTCAAAGCAGGCTAAAATAAGGGAATCTCACCAATAAAGTTAAACTGCAATGGAACTCACCGACCCTTGGTGGAAATATTTCCTCATTCCATTAATTGATGGGGCCGTCGGTTACTTCACAAATGTTTTGGCCTTGCAAATGACGTTTGCGCCACTCGAGTTTGTTGGCATTCCTCTTGTTCGATTTCCCGAACAGCCATTTGGATTGTTTGGCTGGCAAGGTATCATTCCGGCCAAGGCAAGAAAGATGGCAACAATATCCTTTGATTTGATGACGACCAGATTGTTGGACTTGCAGGAAATTTTCAATCAGATTGATCCCGTTAAATTCGCAGAGGCCATGGACGAAGCTATTTTGTTAATGCTAGACAACGTCATCAGCGAGGTGGCTATGGAGACGATGCCAAACACGTGGGGAAATATTCCACAGGCCGTTAAGGACGACATAATAGTCACTGCAGACAATGAGAGTGGCAAGTTTTTGACAGAATTTATGAAAGACATGCAAGCTCATGTCTATGACGTTGTGGACATCAAGGAGATGTGTGTGAACGCATGCGTCCAGAACAAGCATTTGATAGTGAAGATTTTTCAAGAGTGCGGTGACAAGGAATTTAACTTCATTCGACAGAGTGGGTTTTACTTTGGAGCCATGTTTGGTGTTGTGCACATGGTCATTTATATGTTTTACCAAGCGAATTGGGTAATGCCTGTATTTGGTTTTGTTGTGGGAACGGCTACGAATTGGTTAGCTCTTAAGGTTATATTTTCTCCAGTTCGGCCGAAAAAGTTTCTGGGTATGACGTTTCATGGTATTTTCATGAGGCGCCAGGAGGAAGTATCTGCAGTATTTGCGCGTGTCGTATGTGGGGAAATATTGCATATCAAAGCCATTTGGAATGCGATATTTCAAGGAAGCAACTCGAAGAATTTCACTGCGATGCTTCGGGCGCATACGCTTGTATTCACCGACAAACTGGTAGTAGAGATCGAACCTTTGGCTGTGGCTGCCATGGGGTCAGAGAAATTTTTGCAAATGAAGGAGGACATAGCGCAGAAAGTCACCAAGAAGATCCCCGATGTAATAGATTCGTCGTACGAATACACGCAACGTGTAAGTAATATAACATCACGCAAAGTATGCATAATTATATGTATCTGCATGCAAGTTGCTGGATTACTATTCATATAATTGATCGTCACTGACTCAAGTTTTGTCTTCCGTGTGAAAAACTCCAGGCATTGAACATGGAGAATATTATACGGGAGAAAATGTCAGTGTTGCCTCCAGAAGAATTCGAGGGTGTTTTACATCCGGCTTTCGAGGAAGACGAGATTCAGCTAATTATTCTGGGTGGAGCGCTTGGCGCAATCGTTGGTGCACTCCAACTATTGATATTCGTGTGATTGCACCATTTTTCAAGGGACAAAGGACTGTCATCCGCGCTTCGATGTGTACACTAGAAATAATAGTAACGTCTTTTTCATGTTAAGAAAGTACACTCATTTGTTAATAAATATTTAGAACAAAGCTCGCACGCCATCTTCGTCATATTGGGCTCCCGGGGTTTTGATCACATTGCCATCGTCGTCAATGTACTCAGACTTCTTTTGCAATATAAATCTTTCGAAGAATTTGGTGAGGATGCGATCCGTTGTAAGGAATTCAACGCTTCCTCCGTTGGTTGTCGTTGCAAGAATCTTGGGAACAAGGTCTTCCGCAACTTCCTCAGGTTGTGCGGCTAAAACACCGAAGGGGAATTTGCGCAACTCAGGTGTCGAATTGTCCAACAACAGTTTGGTGAAGACCATACCTGGAGAAAGATTGTGAACCTGAACCGTTCCGGGGGTGCTCTTCTTTTCGTATCCCTGCACACCTTCGTCCAATTCCTTGACCAAACTATCGGTCAACTGGGGAAGACCACGTTTCGTTGCACCGTAGCATGCATATCCCGGAGTACCACCACCCTTGACACCACTTCCAACAGTGTTGAAAATGTGCCCGGTAACTCCAGCTTGTTTTGACATAAGGTCAATGGCAGCCTTAGTGCAGAGCAGGGTTCCCATCAAATTGACCTATGCATTTCGATTGTTCCAGAAGGAATATAAATTAGTTTTCGGATATAAAGTGTACGTGCGGTATTCATCAAGGAAAATTCCTCTGGCTATTTCGCTTGGACCCCATCCGTTCCTAAAAAACTCACCTTGACAACCAACTCCACCTGAGAAATAGGCACTTCGCTCAATGCACGACGTCCTCCATTGATTCCAGCGTTGTTGATCCAGTGAGTAACGGTTCCGAGGTTTTCCTTGGCGAATTCAGCGAGCTTTTCCACCGAATCCGAGTCCGAAACATCACATTGGGTATGGTAGACCTTGGCTCCCTTGTGCTTGGCTTCCAAAGCAGCTGCGGCGGTGGCACAATCCTTCACATCACAGATAACAACATCGTATCCACGGTCCATGAATTCTCCAGCGTAAGCCCAGCCGACACCGCCGGCGCTACCAGTAATGACGACACCACCATTGGCGTAAAGCTCAGTGGAAGACACACGAGAGCTAGGTGCAGAGATTGGCGCAAAAGCGCTCGCACTGGACAAGACCAAAGCAGAGAGGCAGATATTAAGAACTCGCATGGTAGAAATTATTTTTCGTGGGAGTTGTGTAACATAAAGTGTCTCCAGTAGTCTCGCGGAAAGGCTCTCCAGCTTCGATTGCCCATTCAACGACGCTGACGACGAGGAAAAAGATTGTTGAAGATTTTTTAAGTGAACCCGTTGAGAATTCAAAGCATGATATTTACACGCACCTAGTACGAGTATTATTGTAAAATCCACGTGGAGTGATAGGCGACGATAGTTCATGACTGATTTAGTCACTGACACTGATATTGTAATCTAACTAGTCCAATTTTGGACTGATTTTTTGTTTCTGAGAAAACTTGAACGCAGAACACACTGAATCCAGCATATCTAGTGAATAATCTCACTCTCTACTGTAAAACGACATGTTAGCATACACCAATATACACATAGCTTTTCAATAGAAAGTGAGGTATTCAGTAGATATTCAGAATTCATTGGATATTCAGGATTCAGTGTGTTCTCTGTGTTCAGTATGTATTCTCTCGTCACAGCTCAAAGCAAGCACTTAAAGGAGTGTAAATATTCATGAATCCTAAGTTTGTGCCAAAAAATATTGGGCCATTCCTCTTCAAGTTTTTTCTTAATCTCTTTATTCTGAAAATGAGAAGAACCAGGTTTAGAAAAAGGGGCATTGATTTCCAGTAGACAACCTTCTTATGAACTACCAGACTTGTAATAGTAGGAATTTGGAATCTGCTGAGACGAACAATGCTTGCCCCATGGTAGTCGAGGCATTCATACTTTTTAAGCTGGGAGTTCCAATCTAAATCTCTTATTTAGAACGGGGTCAGGGGTATGGTTCGATTAACTTAGATTTAGATTGAGTCAATCTAAATGTACGTGTGTCAAAGTATCACATTGTAGAAAATTTAGAAAGCGCCTGTAGAATAACAGGAATCACCCAATATTTGCACTACTTTCATACAGTTTGCTGGCACAACACGGCAAGACTCGGTTCAATCCCTTTTCTTTTTGCTGAACCGAAGCGATCCCTGGGATGGAAACCAACTTCTTAAGTAACTATCCGTTGCACCCATTGCTTTGGTTTCTTTCACTATTGTGACTCGAATAAAGTCACAGTGGCGCTTGAACCAGACGCGGTAGGGGACAGTTAAACCAAGGCACGTAAACATCCAAAAGATAGATGTTCGAAACATTCTTGTTTTCCATTGTGTACAATCGTTGTGTGCCAAAAGCCGAGGGCGATATCCAGTCACATCAATGTGGGTTGAAAATTCGGCGAACTCATCCTCTCGACCATACTTGGTAACGAAATCGGATTGCTGCTGAAAGTAGTGTTCCCTCGATCGTTTGTCTGCCAATACAAGTACTTTCGATAAAGAGATTTTGGTGAAGGGAACAATACTACCGTCATCCGAATCTGTTTGTGCCCTGGTCCAGACACCTGCAATCGTATTGTCATTGCAACTGGTGTACATATAATTTGCGGAAGCCTCGTTCGTAACTACCTTGCGAGTAATCAAAAACATGGGCGGGGTGTTTCTCGCGCTTTTTATCGGTAATCCCATGTCGAGGGGTCTTGACGAGGGCAACGCAGACGTCGATGTCGATAACTCTTGCACAGCACCGGTTTTCTTGACACTGCGGAATAGCGATCGGATAATGGTCGTGATTGCAAATATTCTTCGAAGCTCATAGTGAAATGTTTTCACCTTCCACGTCACAATTGGCTGTTCATTCCGTAAACTATCGATATAAGTGTCCAATTCACTCGAACTCGACATCGCATTGGCAAGGAAATGTCGCGTGCTGCAGTTGTACGATTCATAAAAGTAAAAGATCAAGGAGGCTAAGACCAACCACTTGTTTTCGATCTTTGGAAGTTTCAGTATTGTCCATTCCGCTAGTAGTATCAATAATGATAGTGATCGAGTTGACACCGAAGAGTTATAATAGGCAATCACTCGCTGTAACCATCCCGACAAGACACTCAGAAACGCTAGCGTGATTACGATGGTCAAGAAGGTTGCTTGGGCATGTTCAACTCCGTATTGATCCAATTTCGGCGTTATGCTTTCATACAACGTGTTCGAATCACCACATTCCCAATATACCCGTCCCGTCTCTCGATCGATTAGGGCAGATTCACCGAAAATGGATGCTTCGACTCTGCCAAAACCAGTAGCTGCCGAGAAGCTGTTCCGGGCAGTGTTCATCTTAGCAAGGAATAATTTTCAAGATTTGAAGATTGATTGTCATAGCCTTCTGTTGTCAGAATCCATATTTATTTTCGACAATCGTCAATTTGAGATTGATGCCAACATCGTATCTTTCATTTTCGTTCTCATCATTTTTCACGTTAAAACTACGGTACGGTGAACGGTGTAGTACAGTAATTTTACGGTCGTCACACAGGACGATGAAACGAGACGAGACGTGAAGGTTCCGGTACGTAAGTACCAAGTAGTGCTCGTAGAACGTAGGCTGATGTACCGGTTGTGAGCCTAAGTCACGAGTAGATAGTGAATAAGCTCACTGAGCACACTCTGTATTGTAAACACGTACGAGAAGTCATACAAGACTAAAGAGCATTCGTGCCGTACGCACCGGTACATTTTCCTTCCTGCTTCCGACTGACCATAAAAATTGTTTAGTTGCAATTTTTGTGAGGATAGTGATTCCGTACAGACTTAGCTTTCAAGCATCTCCCCAACAACACATACACAACAAACACCGGTACTCGCACTCATAGTACTGAAATCAGACTTTTAATTAAATGAATTGATATAAACAAGCATTCAAAGATTACCCAATATTAGTAGTAAGAGTAATAAATAGGAATCTTCAAGATACTCACACTGACAAAACTTGAATGGATATGTCAATACCAAAGCAGCAGCCAGAATACGGTCGTTCTTTTGGATCGAACGAACCATTATTTGTCTTAATTTGGTCTATCTATGCATTGTCTAGCACATTTAATTTGCGATTGGAATTTGAGATGAAAAAGCGGAATCCCATTGATGATTGGACTATTCTACTATTTCAGCATTAATCACGTAATGCGTTGTATGAATCATATCTGTACTTCACGTCGGATATATAGACCAAAATGTGATCCTATTGGCGTTGAAATAGAAAAATGTATGCCCTCCTTTCCATCTTCATTTTGATGCCATGTTTTGGTTTACTTGACTTTAATCGTCTTTCTTGCCTTCTGGCAGGGATTTAGTAACGTTCGCTTTGTTTCCACTTGCAATGCTCAAATACAGCCCCCCAAACACCATGAGCACCGATGTCCATTGTCCTGCCGTGAAGGAATGGCCGAAGTGAAGAACACTGAACAAGATTGTGAAAAACTTTCTCGTTGTTGTGATGGTTGTGGTGACGAGGGAACTATACCAAGCAATACACAAGAAAATGAATACTTGACCAACGCCGACAACTCCATTCAAAATCGCAATGTTCATTCTCAGCTGTTCGTTGTTCTGTAACAGACGAATACCTTCAGTCAACTGACCAGTAAACATCGACAAGGGGACCAATAAAAGAAAGGCGTAAAAATTGATAAACAACATTGTTTCCACTGCTGTTGGTGGCCGTTGACGTGTTTCTATTGGACCTATACCTGGCCGCTTTAGCATTCCTGTCAAATGGTGAGATGGTGATAAAGACGCGAGTCAGAATCAGGAAACAAACCAATTCGAACAATCGCTCGGTTTGTTCGACGTCCAAATTATCGTTCGATTTGTGAACCTTGTACGCTCTATTGGTTTTGTTTGAATGGTTGTGTTTTTCCTGGAGCACGTACCTTGGAAAGCTCCCAAGAAACCATCCATGCCAAGTGAAATGCACAAAAGCACCATTCCCTTCCAATAGTTATTGTCCTCGGTTGACGACTGGGATTGGTTTTGTGGCATTCGAGAAATATTGAAGAGGGCGATCCCAGAACTTATGCATATGGCGGCTGCCCATTGTTGCATAGAATATTGTCTTCTTTCGATCAATCTTCCCATCACCATGGTAGGTATAAGTTTGCAGGATTTCGCCAAGACAGCCACTGGATAAGGGACATAGCGAAGGCTCTCATTTGAACCCACCATCGCAAAGACATAACAGGAACTAGTCGCGAAAAGGAGTGGGTGGTTGAGTCCCATTGTCGTTTCCACCTTCGAGGAGGATGCTTCGATTCGTCGCCACATCGTGGCGATCAATATATTCGTTACGGTCTGGATGACCAGAATAAACGTAGCGCCCAATCTGCTTTTGGTAATTAATTTTTCCTGAAGGAACCCATAGAACCAGTAGCTGAAACAAATGCCTGAGGCGACGAAAATAAGTCTCAATGCGTTTCGATGCTTATCGATCATTGGCGGAGACTCCGTTGGTTTGGCTAGGGGAGTATCTTTGCACATGATATGAGACGAAATGACATATACAGTCTTAATTCATGCGTCGAATCACAAGTTCAATTGAAGAGAATAGCCTGTTGCACTCTGTCGCCAACTATGACAGCAGCTGCTGTTTTTGTCGTTGCGGTGGAAATCAAATTTGTTCCTTTCGAAAAGAGAGGTGTGATGCCCGGTCCCTTTTCGATCACGAGAAACATGACGACAACCGTACGTACGTCTCGTGTACTGGTACGGGTTCTCGTACGAAAGTACGGAACTTCTAGCAGACTCTCTTCTCGGTTTTCGCATTTGTGTGGTCGATGAAAAAATTCACAAGTATTTCCAACAGGACTCAATTACATTCGTGACAGAACTACGACTGACTGACTGACTCATTCACACATCGATATTCCTTTCTCATTGTTTCTCTACGCATCAGCAACTGGAAGAAAAGCAGCTGTCGCAATAGTCCAGCAACAGCAACAACAGACTACAGTAAAACACAGTTCATCATGTGTCGTGAATTTTTGTCCGGAGTCACACAAATAACACCGTCTATCTGACCTGATTGAACAGCAACATACACCATCTAACCAATTCAACCGATGAACCCAACTTCAGCCCGTTCTGCGAATCTATTGGTGTTGTGTCTTTTGGCACAACAATTCTTGTCTTTGCTAGATCTGGTTGGAGGTTTCCAACATATCAATCCTGATTTTTCTATCCGCAACACACGTCATCATTTGCACGGAAGCGGATTGCATGCTTTTAAGGTTTCCGTAGATGAGCTCGAAAAAGATCTGACGCCATCCGAACGATCGATTACTGGTGTCGTGCGGCGATGTGGTCCTTCGGTCACCTACGTCAAATCCGTTCTTCCTTCTTCTCCCACGAACGGTGCCAGAAACTTCCAGCGGCGAACCCGAAACGGGCCACGGCGACGACGATCCAATCAGAACGAGAGCCCTTCGAACAATGGCCTGCCCCGGGGGACTGATTTAGGATCAGGGAGTGGCTTTATCGTTGCTCCAGGATACATCTGCACAAATTTTCACGTCATAGAACAGGCTTACTCCATTCGCAAGAATCTGGAATTAGCCGAGCACACATTCGATGAAGTGGTGGGGAATCTTACAGGTGGCTTCCTCTCTCATGATCTTCTCAACATCACGAAATCGGTCGTATTTCAGGGAGCTCTAGACAAAGATTCGCTACCGGATGTATACGTGAGAATCAGCTCGTCTAGCCAGTATAAAAAATGCCGTGTCGTCGATGTTAACACAGATATCGACCTGGCAGTCTTGAGAATAATAGACGACATTTCCGAGCCCAGCAAGGACGAGGAGGAAAAATCTCCCCCTTCGGATACAACGGCCGGTGTCGATTTCATACCGTTTGGTTCGTCGATGGACTTGCTGGTCGGGCAAACAGTGGTCGCCATCGGCAACCCGTTTGGATTGCAGAGCACGGTGACCTCCGGAGTCGTATCTGCTGTCAATCGGGAGTTTCGAGCGGGGACTGCACGAACGCCCGCAAATACACCCATCCGAAATGTGATTCAGACCGACGCTGCCATCAATCCCGGGAATTCGGGTGGCCCCCTTCTGAACCTCAAGGGCGAAGTAGTCGGCATCAATACTGCCATTATTACAACAAGCGGTAGTTCTGCGGGTATCGGATTCGCTGTTCCCGCGGATCAAATCAAACCGGTGGTCAAGGAAATCATTCAAAAGGATCGCATCCAAAAGGGTCAGCGACCCAATCAAGGTTGGTTGGGACTTTCGGTTGTGCGCCAAGATGTTTCCATTGCCGGAAACCAGAACGCTACTTCTTCAAACACGATGCCGCTTGCATTATTGAAGAACTGGGTTGCTAAGGTTGAAATGGATTCTCCGGCATCCGATGCTGGGATTCGGTCGCTCGCGATATCTTCGGAAGGTATTGTGCAGTACGGGGACGCTATTGTTGCGGTTGGAGGAAACGAGGTTACCAACTTTGAAGAATTACACAGAGAATTGGAAAGCCGAGTGGTGGGAGAACAGGTTGCACTTACAGTCCAAGATGCAGAGGGCAAGCGCCGAGTGGTATACGTGACTCTGTCACGCAAGCCAGAAAAACTGGGGCTTTGATGGATTAAGACAGTCTGTCTGTAACTTTATTTTTTTAACCGAGTAAACTAGTCTTTCCGCTATATTTTCTTAGATTTACCAGATGGAATCGACAACTCGGCGTTCGCTGAAAATAGATACAATGACTAACAAAAAGTGTCGATTCGTCGAGTTGCCCAGGCTATATGCGAATACCCAGCTAGTCACACAGTTTCGAAGATGGAACATGAAATTTTGAGCCTGAAAAACTTTTTGTGTCTGATAAAACGAAAACCCCACTGATTCGTCTCATTACTTTTCTTCTTCACACGCCTCCCCATCGATAGCCTTTTGGATCTGTTGGTAGTGCTTGTCAACATCAGAATCAATTTTACTAGCCAACAAACTTCCCTTCTTAGCAAAGTACCTACCAAAAGTGACATTAAGGGGCTTGGATGGCCATGATTTTGGATCCCAAACCTTGGATCTCATATATGCTTTGGAGCAGTGGAAAAATGCATGGTCAACATCAACAAGGATGACAACTTTTGGGGGACAGCCCCTAGCCACATGCTTCCTGATCAGAGCTGGGTCAGTCGAGAGCCACGCAGAACCCCCACACCGGAGGGTCGATCCTGTTCCAGGTACTTCGAACAAGATAGATACTTTCGCAGTTTCATGATCGGTTCCACTTTCTCTCTGGCCTAAAATATTTTGAAGGCCAAAGAGGAGGCGGTTACCGGGGCGATCGGGTATAATTAGTGTGTGTTTTTTGGTTTCATGATTTTGACGAACTGTGACGAATCCTGGCTTGTCACCCTTGGGGGAAATAAAGGGATATTTTGTAGTGTTGTCAACGGTGGCCAGGTAGATGAGGGGAGAGTGGTGAATAAAGTTGATCATTTGGTCGTCCAGATACCCAATAACTTTCTTGGCATCCTCTAAGCAGTTTCCACCCAGTCCTGCCGGCATTATTTGTCTGAGCTCCTCGATGCTCCGGACAATGCACTCATCGTCACCTTCGATATCACCTTTTCTTTCCCTGGAAGCCTCTGGGCGTTGAATGTAAATCGCAATGATAATTCCCAGCAATACAACCAAGCCCTCTCCATCGTACAAAGGCTGGAGGCAAAACAGGAAATAGCTGGCCGCAGCGAGGCTAAGAAAAGCTACTGGATGGTGACCAACCTTCGCTATTTTCGAAATGGACATTGCAAAGATAATTCCTATCCATACTAGTTTGGTCTCTCGAACGTCCAGGCAAGCAACGACTACAGCCAGACCATGTAAAGCTGCCGGGAGGTCACCGTACTTTGATAATTTCGAAATGTACTTCGGAATCAAATATCCCATCGATACTAGCAAAATCTCTTCAGGTGATTCAGGACATACGAGAAACGCGGCGATTGCTGCCAGGACTGTAACATGTAGCACCTTCTGATGGTCAATGGACATAATGAAACTGGAGAAGCGATTTCAATTATGTGAAGAGCAGGAAATTCTAGCTGAGGCATTGAATCTTGTTGGGAATTAGTGGAGTAATGGTTTCTACCACGAAATGCCTGTTTCTCTCCTGGTGGAGAAAGTTGTATCCTCTTTGTTTCAACAGACAGAAAAGAGAAAATCCACTGAACGATACAGAAAATTGAACCTTAAATCGTGTGTCACCACTGGATTCCACGGTTGTTTCATCCGTTTCACATCCCGCCCATTGCTCTGAATGTGTACTTACTTTTCTATGACGGTATCTTTCACTCACGCCGCGAAAGATAACTTTCAATTTCATGATTCATCGCTTTCCTGTACCAGCACTGTACGTACGTAGGTACTCGTACGGTTTTTAGTGAACTTTTTCTCTTTTCGAAAAGCTATCGTACGTAGCTTGACTGGTACTCGTACCAGTACGCCTATCACGAATACGACAGCTCGAGATAAAATCAATCTACATTTTCAGTCTGTCAGTCTGTCAAAAACAGGTACAGAACTGTACTTCAATTTAAAACTGTGAGGCCCAAAACGGGAATTACCCGTTTTAAGCGAGCCGAGTAGAATTTGAGTCGAGTCATGGGTAATTCGTGAAACAAAAATGTCTTGACCGTTACGGTAGACAAACGGAGTGATTTGCAGGCATTGCGCGCGCCAGGTCCGCATCTATTCGCAGTTCAGCCTTCGATGAAGACACTAAAAGATAGTTCACCTGGCATCGCCAACATTCAGGTCTGTGCACTCGGTTACAGCGAGCGAACTGTACGATACCATCTCCTCGATCGAAATCTTGTGATACGACGGTACTGAAACTCGTACCAGCTACGGGAAGTGTCCAGTGAAACGAAGCAGAAGTACAAAGATAGTAGCATCGTGCCTCGTGAGATTCCGCCCCTTGCTTCGACAGAGGAAGAGAATAATTCACTCTACTCCAAATAACCGATAAAGTGTCTAACCATGAGTGTTGACAATATTACCTCGCCGGTGGCTGCGGCCTTCCCCAATATTCAGTGGGATGCTTTGGGATCATTGCGCCTGACGGCCCAAGAAACGGCTTTGCTGCGAATGGCGGAGACCAATCCTATTGACTATACCTTGGCCGATTCGCGAGATGCTTCCATGTACGCAAGAGTTCTTCTTAAGTTGTTGGCGGAAGCTGCTGCCGCTGGCGCTGGTACAGGTCAGTGAAGGTCCGGGAGTCCGGCGGATGGATGTGTACGAGCTACGAAACGAAGTCTGACTTGCTCCGGACATCCAACACACGATCTCTTTCTTCCTCTCACAACCCTCGTTCACCTATTATTTTGCAGGAGAAGTTTCGACTTATATTGAAAAATGCTCTGACGAAAGAGCGATGCGTGCGTTGGACGTCGATCCCTTGGGCGTTGTCACTCATTACGCGCTTACAAAACTAAATGAGATTATCTCCACTTTAAGCAAAGGAGAGTCCGGTGTTACGGTTGCTGCTGTATTTTACGTCGGAAAGGATGGTATTTTAGTAGACCAGTGGAAGGCACTTTTGCGTATTCTCAACAAGAGCGGTAAGGGTGACATTTTTGCCCAAAAGTCTGCCTCTATGTCGTTGGGAAAGATTTTGATCGCTTCGTGTCCTTCGAAGGGTCCAGATTCTAAAGGACGAACCGTGTCCTACATATCCGCGAAGGAACCCATGGAAGCATTGATTGCATGGATTGTTAGTCAGCTGAAGAATGTAGCTGGAAGTTTGGTTGGATTGTGCATTCCTGCCCTGGTTGTATTGATGGAAGCACTTGAATCTCGTCTTATTTTTGCCAAGGCTTCTGGTATTAAGTACATGTCCCGTCAACTTTTGTCAGCCTCGAAATCGGGTAGCCCCAGTGATGGTCAGCAGAAATTTGGCTCGGGATCCGTTCAACAATTATACGCCCTCAGCTTCTGCATGTGGATTTTGTCGTACGAATTGAACTCTTCATGGGAGATTCGCGCTGACTTTGCCAAGGAGGGAGTCCCAGTTAAAGCACTTTGCGAGCTGATTGCAGCTGCACCTCGTGAAAAGGTTGTTCGTGTTTCCCTCGCAGCACTCAACAATTTGGCTACCTGCGTTGATACCGACGATGCGCATCCTGCGGGTCAAACTCCACACGAAGGAAAATTCTTCTTGTCTGAGATGATTGGTAATGGACTGATGAAGTCTATCTCACTTTTGCGAGATAGGCAGTTCACCGACCCCGATATTGTGGAAGATATCGACAACATTCACAAGCTACTGGTAGCAAATTACAAGGAAATGAGCCGCTGGGAAGTCTACAAGAACGAAGTCGAGAACGGTCATTTGCAATGGGGATCCACTCACACGGAAGCTTTCTTCAAGGAAAACGCCAAGATGTTTGAAGGCCCAGACGGCGACTTCAGGCTTCTTAAGGTTCTCATCACTCTTTTATCGAGTAAAGACGAAGAAGTTGTCGCTATTGCATGCTATGATATCGGTGAATTTGTTCGCTTCTACCCGAATGGAAGATCTATTACAAAGAGACTTGGAGCTAAGGAATTGGTGATGCCTTTGATTGAATCGGAGAATGTTGAGCTCCAACGTCATGCCCTACAATGTGTATCGAAGCTCATGGTTCAAAACTGGGAGTATGTAAAATAGGGCTTCAGTACACCGGGAGGAGCAAATAACTTAGACAGTGTTTTAATACAATATTGAACCAGTATCATACCACTAAATAATATAGAATCAAAAGAATCATTTGCATAATTGTTCAGAATCTTTCCTGTTGAAACCTATTTTAAAATATCAGTGATTTGCCACGAACTGTTCTGCGAGTGTTTTGCGTCTCGTCGAATCATTATCTTCATTGTTCAAGGCAACCCCATTCAAAAACCCATAATTGAGAAGGAGCTCTTTGTCAGATTTCTTGCCATAGGAAATATAAAGCTGCTGTTTTCCGTCATCTTCCGTTACAAGACAATTGGAACCTCCGGTAAGACCAAACGAGTCGGTGAGGGGACTATATTCAATCGACGAATCTGCATCTTCCCGATGATTTGCCGAATCAATTAATGGTAACAATACAGCTACCGGTGGACTGCTGTTAACAAGGTTGAGCACAGAAGGAATTGCGCCTATAGCTGCAAGAGCTAACAATATGATGTCGTTTTGTCCATGAAGTTGTACATAGTAGAAATAACCAGCCAACGCCGCTAGTGCAGGAGTACCAACCGCGACAGGCAATGGCATCGAGGACCCTCCCCCTATTCCAAAGTCTCCACAAAAGGCGCGGCTGTGTACGGCTTCCATGGCCCATTCAAACTGTTCCCAGGTCATGCCACTCATGGTTTTGATTCTGTCGAATTTATCTTTCCACATCTTTTCTTGCTGTTTTTGCAAATCCACCAAGGCTTGGCCTTCTGCATGGGCCGACAGGACAGCTTTCTCTTCTTCCGTCCAGTGTCTCAATGCATCTGGAGCAGTAAAAGGCGGAGTTTCTGGCAATTGATCGGAACTCCACGACTTGGTCAACAACGAAACATACCCCGAGATGCTCGAGTTTCCACCAGACGATTCCTTCATTACTTCTTTCCACAAGGATTGCGCTAGCTGTGCGTCCCAATCTTTTTGGCTAAAATCGCTTTCAAGGACAATTGATCGTGGGATTGTCATCCAGCTTTCAGAACTAGAACCGATGCCTTTGTCCTGCGTCCCCAATCCCCGCAGAGTTCCAAAACTGGTATGCTTGATGTACGGGTTGCATTCTGATCCGGGAACATTCGAGAACCAAGATTCAAACTTATCGACTCCCTGCAACGACGAATCCACTGGGGACGATTCTTTTGTTGCAAATAATCGTGACGATTGCTCTACTCGACGAATCTTAGCCGCCGCCAGCCGGATCTCCTGCCATGCTAGACAGCCCTTAATCGACGCACTACCTAGTACGGAGATCGACGATAGAAAGAGAAGGCGATATGATAACGTAATCATCATTTTCTAAAACCACGTGTGACGAAAATGTTTTGGTTATAATACCGCCACAGTCTGCTATGAAGTATTGTTAGTGATTTTAGAGTAGCTTCAATTCGCCTCTACGAAAAGAAGGGATGAGCGGAATGGGTCCGAATAACGTTTATCTACAAGTTGTAGTTAGTGTCGTCCAAATAGTGCGTCGATACGTACCGTACGTTTTAAGGTTTGCGTCAGGCATGATTTGGATGCTCGAAGTGATGTTTCTTTGTTTTGATTTCTTTGTTTTGATTGGAACCTTCAATCAAGATTAGGGATATTACCATATTATGTTTTATACCGCATTAACATACCGGTATTAACATATGGTAGCGTCTGAATGGTAAAAAATAATTGGCTCGCTAACGCAAATAGTTTCTACGGTGCAAAAACTAAGTTAGTGCCAGTAAGGTTGAAGTTATACTCTAAAAAGAATGTGTAGTAGAAGCTATTCAATGAAAGCACAGTGGCTGTTTATTGTTTCTGAAATGGGAATGGAAATCGGTATTGTTTTTGTTGGTATTATTTTTTGTAAGCCGATGAGGAGGTGATCTTAGTACAAATAGACCATTGGAAGAACAAGTTTTAGCTCTTGTTGTTGAAAGCACAAAATAAATCCAATTGCTTGTGTAAGACCCAGTTGAAACCAACACATTCCAAAGATTTTCCCTGTAATTTGTGAACAGTTCTTGCATTGGCAATATTAAATGGAAATTGAAATAATTGTATTCCCTTGTGACTTGTTGAGTTTGATTGGTACTAGTAGTACTAATTCTTGGTGATTCTTCATATTCCTGGAGATATCTAAATGTTACTGTTGCTGTAGTGTGTTGAGAAGATAAAGTGATCCCTTTTTTAGTCTCCTTCTTCAAGGACTACCTCCATCCATTCAACTTTCTTGGCATCTACACATTGAACATAAAATCCATCAATGTTGATATTTTCACAATTGTGGTAGTACCCATTTTTCAGTTTCACAGACTTGAATTTACACATGGCTCCATTTGCTTTTGACTTTTCAACATCTATGTTGTCTACCAACATACAATTTAGGCATTGGATATATCCTTTTGGAATATTTGTTTGTACCTCCTGTAAGAATGTCAGCATCTGATGTGGCAGTTAGCAAGCAGTTTTTTTGTGAAATTCTGGCATATCTGTTCAAGAAATGTGTTAGTTTTTCTCTTGAAAGATGGAATTTTTTGACAATACTAGAGAGTCTCCTCCCATGGGTTTGAGTTGATTGAAGTTACATGCACTCAAAATTGGTAGATTGTCATACAAATTATATCATGGCTTGCTGTCACACAATCAACTCAGATAGTTATTGAATGTTTCAATTTGTTTGATGCCAGCAAATGATATCTGATATCTTGTCAACAGTGAGAAGGCAAGTCTAATTTACCTGTAACATTGGATCTGCCACAATTAAGATAGCAAGCTTTACTATGTGTTATTTCCCCATTGATATTAACTGCTGCTGTTCCAGTCATGTCTGTGAGAGCCAGAGTTCTGTTGGAAAAGTTCGCTCCAAATTCTTTGCAAAACATCTTACATTAATGTCAAACATAGTAATGAATTACTTTTGATTTTCCAGTACCACCATCCCCTGATAGAAAACAGATGAACTCATGCTCATTGCTGCTCATTGTTGCCTTGAGATCTTGACTGTATTTGTTGTGCCAATTACCAATTAATCTTTTTGTAGAATATCTTTTTCTTCATTGTTCTGGTGAATGTAGAAATATTTTATGAAGTTCTAAAACAAAAGCAGCAACAGTCTGGTTGAATGAATTTTCTTGGTCTTTGTCATTTTTAAAATTCAACTTTGTATAGTGTCTGATATTTTCCAAGGCTCCAGTAAATGTGAAGTTTTTCATGATACTTTTGCATCAGTCTCATGGGTGACAGCATCAAAGGTTTTGTGTAGAATTTGATACAAAACACTTCTTTGAAGCTCATTAGGTTTTATATTTTGGTTGAGATTTTGTGAATKGTCTGTAGTAGAAATTACCACCTGCACCTGAGTTCTGAAGTGCAATTGCATTTGAATATGGTGGTACTTTTGGTGTTTTCAGCAGTGTTTTGCCTCCACACTTGTGGGAACCTTGATAAGTGACAACTGAAGTGTCAATTTGTAGCTTATTGAATCTGTGAACTGAGTCTGATCTGGATCATATATGATATCCATGATGTTGTAAACAAAATTTGCCTGAAGTTCATCAAATAAACAAAGATTGCCACTTACTTCATTAGTTTGACAGCGGTTCCCTCCATTTACTAGAGGATTTTCTGTAAGTTGTTCTAGTACTAGACCATCTTTTGATTCCCCTAAATTAAAACTGAGGTACCAATTTTGGGCATTTTCAGCAGTTTCTGATGATTTGATTTCAATTTCCCACCTTTTAGATTTTCCCTGAGTTTTGATAAATATTTCAAATCTGTCTGGAGTTCTTTTTTTGCATTCCTAAATGAAAAAATAGAATCATTGCTGTTTTAGCATATTTTTCCATTGCCAACAAGTTATGATCAGTATCTCTTGGATGATTGATGTTACCATCAATGGGGATGCCTCCAAAGCTTTCACTTTTCCCATTTGGAAATTTTCAAGTGATTTTTTGCTGGGTGTGGAGTAGACCAATCAATTGTTTCTTTTTTCTTCTTTGATTTGATTCCATTTCTTGTTTTGGTGAAGCTAGAGAAAAAAATATAAAAAGAAACATCTTTAGGTTTTCTTGGGGTGCACAAATAATATTGGGATTTAAGAAATAGAGTGTTTGTTTTGAACTGTATTGAAATCCAAAACAAATTCCTCAATTGTCTCTCTCTCTCTCAAAACAATCAAGACCAAGAAATTCAGATTCATGAGAAAAGAAGTGGAAACAAGAACCATAATTTTGAAAGAGATAGCTTGCCATGGGACCAGAAACAATTTGTGGCTTTGTGCTTAAAGTAACAGCTCCCATCAAAGCATGGAATCCTTGTTTGCAAATTGCAATCATTGACTTCCTTACAACTAACAAAATTTGCCTGTACTACTAGTAGTTTAACAGCAACAGTTTTCTCCTTTCAAAGGTGTTTATGTAACTTTAACAGGTCATACTTTATCAAGTTTTGGGAATGGGATTCTCTTTCACCATGTAAAAATAACCAGTTTGATCTTAAAATTACCAATCATGACAATGACTCCTCATTGATGTAGTAGTTGGCCCCCCATTTGCTGGTGGCTAAATGTTGTTGCAGAGGCTGTCAATGTTGGCGTTTGGTTGTTGGTTGTTGGTTGTTGGTTGTTG